TTGAATCGAGAAATATGCAATAAAAAGTAATACCTAATAACAAATTTCAAGAAGTTTATTGGCTACAATTTTGAAATAGGTTGTTTTTGTTTGCCAAATATTAAGACTGTGGGTCAAAGGAATCTTAAGTAATTGGGAAGACAAGTTTTTTTAGTCAAGGCCCCTGTGACCTTGACCTTTGACCCAGTGACCTCAAAATCAAAAGGGGTTATCTTCTAATCATAACTAACCTCCATGCCACTTATGAAGACTGGTGGTCAAAGAAATCTTAAGTTATTGGGCGGACAAGGAAAAACTGACAAACGGCCGGACAGGGAGACGTCCAGACAAGCTGATTCCAGTATACCCCCCTTACAACTTCGTTGTGAGGGGATATAAAAATCATTTGTTTTAGTGAGTATAAAATGGCAACAGTAATTTCTTATTTCAGAAGAAATTGGATTTTTGAAATAAAAAAAAAATAAAAAAATGTTTTATTGACATCACAATTAATATTAATTATGAAAAAACATCTTCTTGAACACCTAACCCTTTGTTACAAGTTGTTTAAAATTAAAGGTAACTTTGAACCCTATCATTTATCTTATTTCAAGTATTATTAATTGAGTTACTACAGTGTTGCAATTAATATTGTAAATAGATGCCCTCATTTTGTGCATGTTATACTGCAGTAAGTCTAGTTACTACTGTCTTGCACTCAGAATAATTTTCAAAATATTACCATTTGAGCGCAAGAGTGTAGTAACTTACAGCACAAGAAAGAAAATTAGATTAACATTTTTTTGTTAATTCATTTGCTTTCTTCTACAATTCCTGTTCATATTCTAAAAAATCTTAACAAATGATAGAATAACATTTAAAACAGAATGTTTTTTGTCTCTCTTGTAAAATTTACAAATATACAGTTACTACAGTCTTGCGCTATACCCTCGATATGTGCCACATAAGTTATTCCCTTAACCTCCTTTCCAAGTGGTCTTCTGTCAAGGACATTGGTGGGGGTATGAATCGCATTCAGCGATAGTTCTAGTTCCTGTCAGAATTATTCCTGCTGTACCAGAACTTAAGATTCAACAAACCAGGTGATAGAAATGTGATAAACTTGCAGTCTAGTTGTGTCAAACTTCCTTTAACCAAACAACTTGCTAATGTTGCATTTATTTCTTTATTTTGTAAAATACACAAAACAACAACAACAACTCATTCTAAGACTTTGAAATATAATTTTTCATTTAGGGGGAATGTTAAATTATAATTTTCATAACAGTGGAATACAAAATTTATCAGTTATGTAAAAAAAAGTTATAATTAATGTTTAAATTAATTATCCACATACTGCCAGTTTTCAATCACAACCACTTTTCAATCATCCCTAGAATTTATTTATTTTTGACCTTATTTGTCATGTAACCAAACTGTAAGCACATCTTGCATTCACCTTGACTACATTTATTAGCAGCAATGTCAATTATGGCGATAAAAAAGAAAATGCTAGCATTTTAGTTCAAAATATGTGAAATGTGTGTTTTCCACTAATTCTTTATTTAGCCAGTTACAAATCGCAATAATTTTCTAAAAATAATTGATTTACAGACTCAGTTTTTTGAACAACTGTTTCAATATCTTGAAGTCATAATATATACTGCACTTCAAAAGCTATAATTTTAATATGTACATATTTTACCATACAATTCTTAATTGGAAGGTTATACATCAGTAAGTAACAGTCACTTAAACAAGGAAAAACATTCTCTCTGATAACTTTTCAGTAAGCTGTCAATAGAATGGTGTCATATAGACCTTAAGATCCTAAAAATTTCACAAGAACATGCTTTTTCTGTTATGCAAATTGAAATGTACATCCATACCCCAATTGTGACAGCTTTACCACTGCAAATAGATATCAAGATTAAAAAATGGCATTATAATTAGGTTAAAATTGTTTATTACCATTTATCTGAAGTTGAGTTTGTCAAAATTTCTCCATAATACATAACTGATTATATTTTAACATTGTATGACAATTTTTATGTGGTACAGTTTATATTTTGTTAACTGATTGAAAAGTGGTTGTGAAATTTTGAAGAACAGGAAAATGGGTCAGTAATGATTTATCCTCAATTCATAATAATAATTCAGGTAAAATTTTAAAAAGTTGGTGCATTTATTAGCTAAAATGATAATATTCGCAGACTTGAAAGAGAATTTTTTTAATATAATTTCACTGTCAGTTATTGTAGAAAAATCTGTTAGCTGATCGGAAAGAGGCAGTACGAGGATATAAATAATTATAACGGTGGAACACCAAATTTATCAATTATGCAAGACAAACACTAAACACATTTGAATCAGCACTTACTGGCATGTTGGTGTCTCATTACAGTTATCAACATGCTGCTTCATGAATATTGGTATTTTAGGGTAATACTTTTTTATTAGCTCACCTGAGCTAGCTCACAAAAACTAGGTCACACCGCCCAAATATGGAAAAACCTTGTCACAGTCTAGTGGTCACATTTTTGCCTCAAACATCATCAAACTTTGCCAGAATGCTTGTCTAGATTAAATTGCTTAGGTGCGTTCGAACATGAGTCATTTCGGATGAAAAAATAGAAGCTATGGGTCACCTGGGGTCAAAAACTAGGTCACATAACCCAAATATGGAAAAACCTTGTTAAAACTCAAGTGGTCACATTTTTGCCTCAATCGTCATCAAACTTGGTCAGGATGCTTGTCTAAGACATTGCTTGTATGAGGTTGATGGGTCAGGGGAGCGATCTAGGGCCATCTTGGCCCTCTTGTTTTATTAAATATAAACAAGGAAGAACAACATTCAGAAAACTCAGTCTCAAACAGTATCAGTTTGATTTAACCTTATTAAATTTTGCTATCATTCTAAAGATTTATGTAAAAATTCTTTTGTTATGAATTTTCTTACTTTTGGAAAATGGAATTATCAGTAAAAAACTCAAAATGCTACATGTTCACTATCAAAATGGGATTGCATTGTTAAAGGGCAAGTAACCCTGAAAGTCTTTCATATTTTTCAAATCTACTCTAAAACCGCATCATATATTTACCTTTGAAATACTTTGTCCAGCATTGTTGCTGGATTTTGGGCTTTTTTTGCTTTACTGTTACCATGTACATGTACTGTCCAGAACTGAGAACAGTGGAGTGCCCTGCCACTTGGACAGCTAATGTTTGAAAGTTATCATTTAATAGTAGACCAGTTTGATCAAATTGTTATAAGATAAACAAAGGTGCAATAATGATACTAATCTTTTGTTAACCTTTTCTTATAGGCTTGTTTCATTCTTTATATCATTATACATTCAAAGCATAGGTCATCTTTCTATTGAAATAAAATATAACTAAAGGAATCTAGAAACTATCTATCAACATTTTGTAAAATTATCTCAACATGTATTTTTTTTTTCTCCTGCTTGTTTATTTAGACTGGTTGTCAGTAGACAATTAGCTAGAACAGACAGCAGTAAGAATGGATTACAGAATAACTTATTCCAGCATAAGTCTTCTTTTTTTCTGTATTGATTGGCTGGTATATATACATCTATAGAGACTTAACGTGTCATTTATTTAGATCTTTAGAGGAGGTTTGTAAACCTTCTAACCTCAACAAGTTCCCAGACAATTTATCAAACCAACTTTTTAATGTATAAATTGGCTCAGAATTCAAGCAATTTTTTTAAAGAATTTGATAGGGTCTAGTTGTTGAATACATTGTAGTTTTATATCTTCAATGGTACTAATATACAAGCTGGAAACATATAAACTTAGAATGGAATATGCATGTATAAAAGCACTGCTGTTATTGTATGTTGTACATGTAATAGAAAGAGCACCGAAACACGAGGCTATCTGATTTGTACGAGGGGGCGTAGCCCCCGAGTATTAATCAGATTGCCGAGTGTTTTGGTGTTCTTTCTCTTTTGTATCATAGTCAAACATAAAAGCACGTTCCCTGTTGTCACAATATGAAACCCCGGCAAAAATGAACCAATGAACGAATATCTGAATATGACATTTCCGTCGCTTTCCCTTTCTCTGCCGTCACAATATGTAAACCCCAGCAAAAATGAGCCAATCAATGGGCATGCTCTGGAGTGCGGGTAACTGATACCCGCACTCCAGTTAACGCACTCTACATGTATATGTATACGATTTAACCCAGACACATGTTCAACAGAAAGGTCTCCAAACTATGATACAATGTATATATACCACTTTGTGTATATATATAAACTTAAGTTTTACCATGTTGTATATATATATAAACTTCGGCTTTACCATTTTGTATATATAAACTTAAGCTTTACCATTTTGTATATATACTCAAAATTACTAATTCCGCGTCATTACTTATTTCACGGTAATGGCATACTTTTATGTAACCAGTGTTGAAATTGGTCAGAATTGACATATTTTATTCAAACACCTAAACAACAAAGTTTTGTGCAAAATATTTTAAATGTATAGATTTTTACCTAAAACAAAACAACATTTTACAAACTTCTGCAAAAAGCAACAATAGTCCGTTAAATTTGTGCATACATCTCAAACAAAATGTTCTTGTTTGTTGAAAAAATAAATTTTGAGTTACAATGTAAAGATACTTTTAATATTTAAAATTATGCAAAATAACATGTAGAAATTTTAACTGCAACATGAAAAAACTGAAATGTAACACCATTACCGCGATTTAAATGATAACATACTGTTTTCAAAATGACCGACATATGGTCTATGTTTGGTCCATTTGAATTAAATTTGACTGAATATATTGTTGTTTCCTTGTGTGATACAGCAGAAAAAACCTGTATGTTATAGCTATTGACAATTTTTGTAACATAAGTTTCATTTGTTGTTTTCTGTCTGGTTTCAAATTGTGTAGTACCGTGAACTAAGAGGAGCACAGTATATATACTTAGTTTTATCATTTTGTATATATATATAAACTAAGTTTTGTATATTTTCAGGATGTTGGAAGGTACAAGACAAGGTTTGTAATTCAGCAGAATGTATACCACATGAAGGTAGCCGTAGTTCACATAAAATAAGTAACAATTCACACTTCTGTTGTTGCCGTGGTAACATGTGTAATAACAACATCTCAAAGGACTTCATTCCTATCACAAGAAGAATAACAACTGAATCAAGTGGACCAGGTATTGTATATAATTATTATATACAAAATATTATACAAAAATTAGTGAAGCAGTTTTATGTTCTAACAATAGTACTATATATAGACCTCTTTGAATAACAATAAGTTATCTATAATTTAATCATATGATATACATGTAACCAATACAGGGCTGATATTAGACAACAGTAATGTTTAAAAACAAACAATAGACAAAGGTCATTGGCAACATTTATACAGATGGACGGTAACTTAAAAAAGTTTTCACTTCATCCATTACATTTGGTCTTCTCTTTAAAGAATGTTAAAGCAAGCTGTTGTTTCCTTGAGCAAAACACTTTACAGGCATTGCTTAGCACTGGTTGGGTTCAAGGAACAGATTCCACATAGTTTCAATGAGCTTCAAGCTTCCTAAGTTCCTACACAATTGAACTAAAATAGATTTGTATAAACTCAAGAATGTTCAATCTAAGGACAATATGTACTTTAATAATACATGTAGTATTTGCGGAATGGATTTATTTCTATAAGTTTATAGTTGTTTAAAGAAGGTAATTGAAATATCAGTTAATATCAATCTTTACACTCAGCTTGTTAAACAAATTATGACTATGTAAAATTTAGACTGTAATAATGTTTCACTTTTATTTCAGTGTTACGTCAACTGCGTGATCCGTCATATAAAGAGCGTACAATAGTGATATCATTGTTATCTGTGTTCTCATTGGCTATCATCATACTCGGACTATACCTTGTCTATAGATTCTGTTTCCGACCTCCGACCTTGCCTACACATAGTAACAGTGACCCAGAAAATCCTCAGTCGCCTGCATTTGATATTGATAATTTAAAAATTAGTTGTTTGATAATAAAAGGCCGTTTTAGTGAAGTATGGAAAGGGTCGTTAAACGATCAAGATGTTGCTGTGAAAATATACTCACCCAGTTACAGACAGTATTATTACAATGAAAAATATATATATTCTCTACCACACATGGAACATGATAATATAATGAAGTTTCACGGAGGAGAAGAACGTATATTACAAGATGGAGAAGTACAACATCTCCTCGTACTGCAGTATGTTCCTGATGGAACGTTAATGAACTATCTCAAGAACAATACAATAGACTGGTATACCATGTGTAAAATGTGTCTAACACTTGCTAAAGGACTTGCCCACCTACATGCTGATATAGGATCAGGAGGTATGTCTTAACTTAACAGTCATATAACAGTAACACTAGCTCACATATACTACCAGTGTTTTTTTTCACTTTTGGGGGAAGGGGGTCAATGTCCTTTGGAGGGGGAAAAATGCCATAGGAGGGGAAATTTTATTTGTTTATTTATTTTATATTGTTTTCTTTCCGGTAGAAAAGGGGAGCAACTCTTTCAACACAAGTTTAAAATACGTAGCTTTTTCTTAATATACGGATCTAAAATATCATTGTGCGAATGTATAATTTGTTGGGACGCCGGGAGTAGCTCCCCTTACCTACCTGAGAACGATTTTGTAAACAACCTTGCTTAACAGTAAGTCTTACAGGCATTAAATAAAACATTTTTTGGCAGTTAGTTGCAAAAACTTGATATTGATTGAAGGCAAATTCGGGCTGCCATATAGGGGGAAATTTCTGCCTTGAGGGAGGAAAAACGATACTATTTTGAGGGGGGAATGGGGCCGAATTTCGCCGAATATTTTGGTGAATAAAAACACTGACTACTGTCTCTATATCAGACCATTTGTTGAGCTTAATAATTGCATTGTTACATTTCTGTGTTGTAAAAATATATTTTTATTTACACATTAAGATATCCTCTGTTGATATTTTAACAAAGATTTCAAAATAAGTGATTTCAATATTAGCATACCAAAACTGAGGTACCAATAATAAAGAAGGTTGGTGGTTGAAACAATACAGAAAGAGAAATCTTTAGGTAACCTTGGAAAGTGGACATAATTATGACCTTTACAGATTTAGTGCAACTTGGAAAGTCAACCCCAGTTTTATTTTATTTTATATTTTTGTCAGAAATACATGTACATTGTACATTTTCCCAGCCTATAAGAAGCTGTTGTATAGTTATATATAAGTATATAGTTGCTATAATAGTTATTATGTATCACATTTATTTTTGTATAAGAACAACTACCTTAAAATAGGTATATGATGCTTGGATATTGTTAATGTGTTTTATTTAAACATTGGTCTTGTTACAGATTCCTTCAAGCCAACAGTAGCTCATAGAGATATCAACAGTCGGAATGTATTAGTGAAGCCTGACCTTAGCTTAGTGATAGCTGACCTAGGTTTCTGCATGACAACCATGGGGTCAAAGTTGATACACAAAGGTCATACAGAAAATGCTGAACAGACTTCACTGACTGATGTAAGTTCTATATATTCATAGAAAGTTGATTTTATTTATACTATATGATGTAATGTTCACTAGATGTAACTGTAGCAGGTCTCCAGCTTAGAAACATTAAAATCCTTGCCACATCAGTCACTTAAGAAGGAATAAGGCTAAGTTATTTAAACTTATTAAGGACATTGCCCATGGCCAGTAGATGCTATCTTGATATTGAGGACATTAGGTTAGGGTCACTGTGACACTTGAAATGATTGTCTAATTAACAACATGAGTTTCCTCCATCATAGGTTTGTAGGACATATAATATTATTATTATGGATATTATAAAATGTTGTTATTTACAGGTTGGTACATTAAGATACATGGCCCCTGAGTTATTAGACGGAGCTGTAAACCTGCGTGATTGTGAGGCCTCGTTAAAACAGATAGACATGTATGCATTTGGTCTCGTCATGTGGGAAATCTCATCAAGATGCTCAGATCTTTATCAAGGTAATTTCCCCTACCTCTGTATAATGACTGGTGTATGTCTGTTGCTGGCCTGGTACCTGGCTGTATGTGTGTGTGCATCTCTATAAACCACACAACCAATTTTAATAAAACATGAGAGGAATAATTGTCATGATGTCTACATGTATATATTGTAAGGAATTTGGGCTTGACTGAGTAATAACCCTGAACTTCAAGATTAATTCCTTAAATTTTGCTGAAATTAGGTATAATTGGCACTGAAATTAGGTATATTTGGCAATAACTTTTGTTATTAATCTATGTTTTGTATTCATACTGTGGACAAAGTAACACTTGATACTGGTCATGTTGAGTAACTTAAGATTGACTTTCATCTTAAAATGGTCTTGATCTTTATGGTCAAGTAATTAAATTTTACTAAGATTAGCCATAACCTTGTTATTATTGAATTTATTTTATTCATTCTTGGAAATGCTTTCCAATGTGAAAAGTGAATTTGACCTTGACCTTAGTATGACCTTGACCTTTATAATAAAAGTTCTGAATTTTTCTTAAATTAGCTAAAAAGTTTTATACTAATGAACAGATTTGATTTACATTTGAACAAACAAACACATTAAAAATGTCAATGTTGAGAAATAAAATTGTCATGTTTAGCAATTTAGATATGACCTTAATCTTAAAACATTCTCGACAGGTAAGGTTAATTTATTGAATTTTGCTAGAATTGCCATAATTATGTAATTTATGATGTTCGAAATAACCACCACCACCTGTGATAAAACCTTCAAGTAGAGTAACTCAGGTATAACCTTTAAAGTCAAATTATTGAATTTTCATGAAATTGACCAAATCTTATAATTAATTACAGTCGACATTGTATTAAGAGGCCACTCAAGGGACTGCCAAAAAGTGGTCTCTTAATAAAGTGGTCTCTCAATAGAATTCTGGAACATTCGAGACATTTTATTACAAGTCATAGATATAATAACATCTTTTTTATAAAAACAAAAACTATACAATATTATGTATGTATTACAGTTTTATAATTACATTTAATATGCCTTTTTTTAAAAAATAGTCATCAATATTGTTTGTTTTTGTTTTTTAGTAGAAATTTGTGTACAAATGTGATCTACGCTCATAATACTGTCAACAGGTCATTTTGACCATGAAACAAAGCATGTTGTCTTATATTTTTAATATGTTCATACACATCTCCTGCTGAACATACTTTACAATCATCAGCAAGAGCTCCAGATAATTTTTTTATGCAATGAGTTTTTAAACTTCTTAATTTTTAATAAACTTCTTAATTTTTAATAATTAGTTTTCACACTACCCCGATTTCAAATTCAATAAGATTTTTAGAGATCTAGGATTTTTTGTCTTTTTTTTGTCGAAGGGTCATATTTATTGGGATACTACATGTATTTTATAAGGCATCAGATGAGCACCTACACCATCAGCAATGAAAGGCTCGGTTCTGTAATGTTTAGTCCACTACGTTTCACGATTTTATTTCGACTACAATCGATGACATTTGCTATTTACTCAGACTCAATTTCATGCACGATTTCCTCATAAAATTTATCCGGTCTTATTAGTTGTCTGTCTTTTTTTCGCTCGATCCGACGTCATTTTCGATATGGGAGGTCACTCTGAGCACATGACAAAAACTATGGCAAATGCGGTGTTGTGATACGTTATTGCTCTGACAAAATATGTCACAATAAATATTACGATCGGAAAATCGATTTTGAAACGATTGCAATTGTTATTCATTTCGTTTTTAAACGACAATTATTTGTGACCATTGACCATGAAAAATATTTGTTTGTTTGCTTGTACACATCTAACCTACTCGCTAATTACACAGGTGAGAATGCCCGCAGGGACGATTGTTTGTCACGGCCGTTTAATAGATACTTTAACACTTAATTTTGTACATTTGGGCCGACATTCAGTTGCCGCTGGCCGCGATATGAAATAGTCGTTTAATGGAATTAAATTAAATAGTAAAAATCATCGGGAGGGATTTTATGCGGCCGCTTAATAAAAAAGTCGCTAAATAAAGGTGGACGCAAGTACGATGCCGACTGTATTCATTTTTTGAAGAAAAAAAAAAGCAACACTGTCTCAAGCATGCCCTTTACCTTAAATTGTCCTTGACACAGACAGGCAAGGATAAATATAAAGTAAATAATTTAATTCTGTACAACTTAGTATTTAATTGACAGATTTGATTAATATTTGGATGCCAAGACATGTTACATAACATCAGACTGTCTGAAGGGGAATTTTATTTCAAATTTTAAATGACCCTTAAAGGGTCGGGTTTTCTTATTTTATAAAACTTTTTTAAAAAGCTTTGGGTTTTTTATTGATACATTTAATTTTTTTGGGAAAAGGTTTGGCACCTGAGGTTTTTCTCCCCCATTTAAAGCTGGAAAGCCCCAAATATGACCAAATACTGTTTTAAAATGCTACCTAAAAACAAAAAAAAAAATAAAAAAAATATCTGGACTATTTTGTTCCACCAGTTATGCTGGAACATTTCCTTGCACCAGTTAATGTAAATCTGGAACATTTTTCAACCAACAGTAAATCCGGAACATTTTTCAACCAACAGTAAATCCGGAACATTTTTCAACGAACAGTAAATCTGGAATATTATTTCCAATTGTAAATCTGGAACATTTTTCCTCCAACAGTAAATCTGGAACATTTTCCCCAACAGTAAATCCGGAACATTTTTCAACCAACAGTAAATCCGGAACATTTTTCAACGAACAGTAAATCTGGAATATTATTTCCAATTGTAAATCTGGAACATTTTTCCTCCAATTGTAAATCTGGAACATTTTTCCTCCAACAGTAAATCTGGAACATTTTCCCCAACAGTAAATCTGGAACATTTTCCCCAACAGTAAATCTGGAACATTTTTCCTCCAACAGTAAATCTGGAACATTTTCCCTCCAACAGTAAATCTGGAACATTTTCCCTCCAATTGTAAATCTGGAACATTTTTCAACCAACAGTAAATCTGGAACAATTTTCCCCAACAGTAAATCTGGAACATTTTTCCTCCAACAGTAAATCTGGAACATTTTCCCTCCAACAGTAAATCTGGAACATTTTCCCTCCAAATCAGTAAATCTGGAACATTTTTCCTCCAAATTGTAAAATCTGGAACATTTTTCCCTCCAATTGTAAATCTGGAAACATTTTTTCAACCAACAGTAAATCTGGAACATTTTCCCCAACAGTAAATCTGGAACATTTTTCCTCCAACAGTAAATCTGGAACATTTTCCCTCCAACAGTAAATCTGGAACATTTTCCCTCCAACAGTAAATCTGGAACATTTTCCCCAACAGTAAATCTGGAACATTTTCCCCAACAGTAAATCTGGAACATTTTCCCCAACAGTAAATCTGGAACATTTTCCCCAACAGTAAATCTGGAACATTTTTCTCCACCAGTATAGCTTGTACATTTTCCACCAACAGTAAATGAGGAACAATTTCCCATCTCCAATAATTCTTGAGCATTTTCCTACAACAATAAATCTGTAACATTTTCCACCAACAGTAAAGCTGGAACATTTTCCCCATCTCCAGTAAATCTGAAACATTTTCCCATCAACAGTAAATCTAGAATATTTTTCCACCAACGGTAAATTTGGAACACTTTCCCTGTCTCCAGTAAATCTGGAACATTTTTCCTCCACCAGCGTGGCTGGAACAATCCTTTTACACCAGTTAATCTTGAAGGTTTATCCTTGACCAGTAAAGCTTAAATTTGAGCCACAAACCCTCAGTTTTTGTCCTGTAATAAGTTAATGTAAAGAATATATTAAAGACAAGCACTAAAAGAATTCTTTGAGAAATACACATAACACATGAAATGATCTCATTTATATTGAAGAGAGATAAAAAATAATGAGAGATTTCTGTGTATTAGATGATAATGTAGAATAAACTAGGAAATGCTGTGTCGAGACAAGAAGAGATTTGTGACTTGTACAAGAGTTATACATTTCACTAGATGTGTCATGTATTCATTATAAAGCTAAATTGAGCCGCGTCACGACAAAACCAACATAATGCGTTTGCGACCAGCATGGATCCAGACCATCCTGCGCATCCGGATGCGCAGGCTGGTCTGGATCCATGCTGGTCGCAAACGCATTATGTTGGTTTTGTCGTGACGCGGCTCAATTGTAATTTATTGTCTCAGTATAATCACATTACACCAGCTAATGGCACAAATCTATATTGTCTGACACCCATTTACTTTTTTTTTTCGTATCATACTTTATCAAATCACATTTTTTTTTCTCTCCAGTGATTACACTAGGACAGTGTATGAGAGTTAGTGAATATTTCGAGTTATATTGTATGACATTGTATGACAGTGTTTAGACTGTTATCATCAGGCATCTTTCCATGTCATTGCTCCCTGTAGCTTCAATTAATCCCATTACATCGATTTTCAAACTTTTTTATTTTTGTGACACAGATAAGAATGTTGTTTTATTGTGGAACATGTGTCAGGTAATGCTGCAATAATTTCTAATATTGATCTTTTTCTCAATAAATTGCCAGACAACCATTTTTATACATTTATCAGATACAGCAAAATAAACCACAAAAACTTTTACAAAATGATATGTCCTAACAACTGACAACCTTGTTTAATAGGAGATAGTTGGGAAATAAGCAATTTAGAAATGGTAAATAAGCAGTTGGAAAATAAGAATTGGAAAAAGGGAAATAAGCTGTTTGGAAATAAGCATGGGAAAAGGGGAAATAAACTGTTGGGAAAGGGAAATAAGTAGATAGGAAATTTGCAATTGGGAGAGGAAAATTGGCAGATGTGAAAAAGGAATTTGGACAGGGAAATCAACAGATAGGGAAAAAAACAATTGGGAAAGGGAAATAAGTTGAGAATATGTCGGTATGAGCATTTTGAAAAATAAAGATAGTGTTTTTTTTGTATAAAAAGAAAATATATGTGTATAATATACATAGATGCATTTAAAGTTTCGGAATGGCATATCTGCTATACTGTTTGAATCATAATTTCCTAATTTCTTGATGGATTGTCAAATCATTTGGCACAATGTCTTTACTGTGTCAGTGTGTTTGTCATGGGTCAATGAGTGTGGGCAGCACCTAGGTCACAGTTGTACTTGGAAGTAACAATGTCATATGGCAGCAAAGGCAGTTGTGTCCTATGAACACATTTCTAGTTGTATCCTACTAAAATTTTGTTGTATTTTAATAGAATATTTAAATAAAATTAATTTATAATTCATGAATGTTCAATCATGAGTAATTTCTGCGGTAAAAGTTGAACTATTAGCTCGACTATTCGAAGAATATGAGAGCTATTGTAGTCGCCCCGGCGTCGGCGTCAGCGTCCGCGTCGGCGTCTGCGTTGGTTAAAGTTTTTTGTAAAGTCAAATATCTCAATTATTACTTGAGATATTCAATTGAAACTTACAATACTTATTTATAGTAACAAGGTACATCAGATTGACAAGTTGGATAACACTGCCTACAATATTGACAGAATTATGCCCCTTTTTAACTTAGAAATTTTGGTTAAAGTTTTTTATAAAGTCAAATATCTCAATTATTGCTTGAGATATTCAATTGAAACTTACCATACTTATTTATAGTAACAAGGTACATCAGATTGACAAGTGGATAACTCTCTGCCTACAATATTGACAGAATTATGCCCTTTTTAACTTAAAAAATTTTGGTTTAAGTTTTTTGTAAAGTCAAATATTTCAATTATTGCTTGAGATATTCAATTTTGAAACTTACAATTCTATTTATAGTAACAGGTACATCAGGATTGACAAGTTGGATAACTCTGCCTACAATATTGAAAGAAATTATGCCCCTTTGGAACTTTAGAAATTTTGGTTTTAAAGTTTTTTTGTAAAAGTCAAATATCTCAATTATTGCTTGAGATATTCAATTGAAATTTAAAATACTTTTTTATAGTAACACAATGTACATCAGTTTGCAAATTGCGTAACTCTGCCTGCCAATATTTGCAGAATTATTTGCCCCCTTTGAAACTTTAGAAATTTGGGTTAAAAGGTTACAGGTCTTTAAAAATATTTACTTGAAACTTTACACATGCACTTAGGGTCTAAATTGGAGGGTCATTTTTGTATGTCACTGACCAAGTTCCATAACTCTATCTTGCATTAAGGCTGATTCATATCCCCTTTTCTACTTAGTCTCTTGGTTAATGTTTACATGCAAGTTTTACATATCTCAATAACTATTAAAGATATTTATTTAAAATTTCACATACGCATTTAGGGTCATAATTGTAGATCACTGACAAAGATCCATAATTCTATCTTGCATTAAGGCTGATTTTTCTTCCCTTTTTTCAACTTAGAAATTCATGGTAAAGTTTTGCTTGTATATAAGCTGTTATCTCAATAACTACTGAAGGGTTTGTGCCTTTTTTGGGACAATTTTATGCATTCATAATAATAAAGCAGTGATTTACTTGATAAAACATCTTTATTTAATAACAAGCCTAATTACCTTTTCTTCAAATTTATGTATTCATAGTAGTAATTAGTATTATTATACTCAATAAAAACACCTCTTGTGACATTACCTTCCGAATAGTCAAGCCAATACTGTATAATTAAACTCTCTCTTAGGCCTATAACATGAATTTATAAAAAAAAAATTAGCCCTTTTGTGAACTTAAAAAATTTAACATTATCAAGGCTCTTTTACTATCAAGCACTTAGAATAGTCGAGCGTGCTGTTCTACTGACAGCTCTTGTTTTATGAGAAAATCACTCAAGAACGCAAAACCATCAACATTGAAATAAAAAAAATTCGGGCAAGTATGAACATTGCTAATGAAATAGAAAAGTCAGGAAATATCTTGAACTTTGCTAATGATATAGAAAGGTCGGGAGTTATTTTGATCTTTGCTTTTACTTCAATACGGTTACAAGTGTTCTTTAAGAGCCGAAATTATGCCTGTGGCAACAACAATTACAGAAAATGAAACTCAATAAAATGACCTACATGTATCCGTTGGGGAAAATTATTTTATGAATGTATTGATAGGGAAAGTATCTAAAACGAATATTATTAATTGTGGCTTATATAGACAATACGTATCATTTGTACCATATTTTTGTTCCTTATGTACAGTTTGTACACTTGTTACGATATGAAACACATTTATCCACCAACCTGCATAGCTGGTTGATACTCTCAACTATGAAGAACAAAGTCCTGATTGGATTCGAACCCACAGTGGTGAGAGGCAAGTGATATGAAGTCAAAGATCTTAACCACATGGCCACAGAGGCCCCCATATATCCACTTTTATAGTATATAGTCCTATGTTACAGTATGTCATATGTTGCAGTAATTCCTACATTACAGTAATTCCTATGTTACAGGTTGTCCTTTGTTACATAATGTCCTATGTTACAGAATGTCCTATGTTACAGGTTGTCCTATGTTACAGAATGTCCTATGTTACAGTATGTCATATGTTACAGTATGTCATATGTTACAGGTTGTCCTAAGTTACTATATGTCCTATGTTACAAGTTGTCCTATGTTACAGTATGTCCTATGTTACAGGTTGTCCTATGTTTCAGGTTGTCCTATGTTATAGTATGTGCTATGTTACAGGTTGCCCTATGTTACAGTTTGTCCTATGTTACAGTATGTCCTATGTTACAGGTTGTCCTAAGTTATGATATGTCCCATGTTACAGTATGTCCTATGTTACAGTATGTCCTATGTTACAGAATGTCCCATGTTACAGTATGTCCTATGTTACAGGTTGTCCTAAGTTACTATATGTCCCATTTTATAGTATGTCCTATGTTACAGTATGTCCTATGTTACAGAATGTCCTATGTTACAGTATGTCCTAAGTTGCTATATGTCCTATGTTACAGTATGTCATATGTTACAGGTTGTCCTATGTTACAGAATGTCCTATGTTACAGTATGTCCTATGTTACAGGTTGCCCTATGTTACAGTTTTGTCCAATGTTACATGTATGTCTATGTTACAGGTTGTCCTAAGTTACGATATGTCCCATGTTACAGTATGTCCTATGTTACAGTATGTCCTATGTTACAGAATGTCCTATGTTTACAGTTTTGTCCCATGTTACAGTATGTCCTATGTTACAGGTTGTCCTAAGTTACGATATGTCCTATGTTACAGGTTGTCCTATGTTACAGTATGTCCTATGTTACAGTATGTCCTATGTTACAGTTTGTCCTATGTTACAGTATGTCCTATGTTACAGGTTGCCCTATGTTACAGTTTGTCCTATGTTACAGTATGTCCTATGTTACAGGTTGTCCTAAGTTACTATATGTCCCATGTTACAGTATGTCCTATGTTACAGTATGTCCTATGTTACAGAATGTCCTATGTTACAGTATGTCCTAAGTTGCTATATGTCCTATGTTACAGTTTGTCATATGTTACAGGTTGTCCTATGTTACAGTATGTCCTAAGTTACTATATGTCCCATGTTACAGTATGTCCTATGTTACAGTATGTCCTATGTTACAGAATGTCCTATGTTACAGTATGTCCTAAGTTGCTATATGTCCTATGTTACAGTATGTCCTATGTTACAGTATGTCCTATGTTACAGTATGTCCTAAGTTACTATATGTCCCATGTTACAGTATGTCCTATGTTACAGTATGTCCTATGTTACAGAATGTCCTATGTTACAGTATGTCCTAAGTTGCTATATGTCCTATGTTACAGTATGTCGTGTGTTACAGGTTGTCCTATGCCAGAGTTTGCTCTACCCTATCAGAGTGAGGCAGGCTGTCATCCATCGTTTGAGGAAATGCAAGTATTTGTTTCACGAAACAAAGTGCGACCAAAGTTCCCAGAAGTCTGGAAAGACTATAATCAAGTAAGTAATCAGTCTCAATACAGTGTAGATAGTAGCCCATAAGAAGTGAATTTACAGTAAAAGAAGTCCTGTACATAGAGCTCATTAGTGAGCAAGCCAAAATAACTTGGAAGAAGCTATTTAGTAACAACATGGCCCAAATAGTATACAGTTTACAATAAATATAGTCTAGGATATATGGTCAATAACTGGTCATTAGTCAATAGTCAATTAGTGATCAGTTGTCAATAACATAGTCAATTATTGGCCAGCAATCAAAAACATACTCATTTATTTGACAGTAGTCAATAACATAGTCAATTTTTGGGCAGTTATAAACAGAAACTTTTAACCTGGTGTAGCTTGTATCTGCATGAAATCTGTCCAGGCTTTATACTGTAAACTGCCAAACTTCATTATGATATCCCTAAAACTATCTGACAATAAAGTTAGACAAGCCCCACAATCTGACAATGAAGTAAGACTATATAAGGTACTGCATGCTGACCACCACTGTTTGAAATAATAGAGATATTAGCCGGTACATGTAAAAATATACACACCAAATTAGTACATGTAAAAAAACCCTATTTGTTAACTACATGTGCATAATCTGTAATTGACAATTACCCTAAAGTTTGAGACAGAGTTTTATTATATAAACCAAGATATTGTATTCTGATCAGTCTTGTCAACAATAAATATGTGTGTTTGTTTTAACTTCTCATTTATTGTTTTCAATTGGAAAAAAACCTTGAAGTATTAAAAAAATTAATGACATGGAATTTTTACGTTATGTGTTTTTCTGACAAGATTGACACAGCTATTGTAATGTAATTAACATGTTATTCTGTACAGATAAAAGTACAGAAACGTAAAATCACATTATTATGTTAGATAATGCTGCACATACTTCATGACAAAATGACAACATTACATGAGAAAGTTTTAATCAAAATTATGCAATCCTTTAACAGGGACTTTTATTTTGATAAAATACACCAAAAATTTATATAAGTGTGAACCCCTTGAGGGAGCAAGTTCTTAACTCTTGGTTTTTATATGATTTGTTTTCTTACAAATATATTAATGTGACTTTTCTTTCAATTCTGTGGTCAGATATGTCTATTAAAATGGAAAAAATAACTAAAAAATAGGCACATGTAGATTGACAACTAGAATTATAACCTGGTTTTATGACAATTTCCTGTCACTTTTTAGGATATGGATAATTCAGACTAATTTCACACTTCACAGACTATCTTCTTTCCTAATTGAAACCTTTTTGATGCCTTAAACAAATTTGCATTCAGGTGTATTTTGCCTGACCTTTGAGGTGCCCTTGTGTGTGTTTTCTTTCAAATTTAACAAGTGTTTGACAATTAATTATATGGATGTTGATATATTTCTGTATAAAATGTATATGTTGAATATTATATTTCTGTGTAAAATATATATGAGCCACGTCACAACAAAACCAACATAGTGCGTTTGCGACCAGCATGGATCAAGACCAGTCTGCGCATCCGCGCAGTCTGATCAGGATCCATGCTGTTCGCTATCTGTTTCTCTGCTTGTAATAGGGTTTGTAAGCGAACAGCATGGATCCTGATCAGACTGCTGGCTGCAAACGCATTACGTTGGTTTTGTCGTGACGCGGCTCATATGTTGAAATATTATTGTAACAGGCTATCAGGGCTCTAAAAGAGACTATAGAGGAATGCTGGGATCATGATGCCGAGGCGAGGTTAACAGCACTTTGTGTAGAAGAACGTGTGATGGAAATGAAAATGCTGTGGTCACATGATAACAGAAATAAGGCTAACAAAGGTAAATCAAAGACATGAATATGGCTATGTAACAGTTTAGTTAGTAACACTTTTGTTACATTATTTATATATAACTATGACAATAGTTTATTTGGAGTTTAAGGCTAACACAGATTATAATTCTCAAAATGAGTTACATAAATCAATGAATCAACTCACTTAAACTTGAAGTTGATAATTAAAACCTTGTCAGCTATCAGAACTTATGAATATGTTACTTAACAAGTATGTAGGATTGGTTAAAGGATAGCCACTGTGAAAACAACAATGTTTGTATTATTTTACCGTATAGATAAACAAGTTTATATAAATGTTTATTAGCAGTTTACCAATCCTGTTAGCAAGAAACACTAAAATATGTTTGTATGTCAGATAAAAATGATCATGAGGTTAACATCTGACATAAAATATACACGAGGTTAACATCTGACCTAAAATACTCACAAGGTTAACATCTGACCTAAAATATACATGAGGTTAACATCTGACATAAAATATACATGAGGTTAACATCTGACCTAAAATACTCACAAGGTTAACATCTGACCTAAAATATACATGAGGTTAACATCTGACATAAAATATACACGAGGTTAACATCTGACCTAAAATACTCACAAGGTTAACATCTGACCTAAAATATACATGAGGTTAACATCTGACATAAAATATACATGAGGTTAACATCTGACATATAATATACATGAGGTTAACATCTGACATAAAATATACACGAGGTTAACATCTGACCTAAAATATACATGAGGTTAACATCTGACATAAAATATACATGAGGTTAACATCTGACATAAAATATACATGAGGTTAACATCTGACATAAAATATACATGAGGTTAACATCTTACATAAAATATACATGAGGTTAACATCTTACATAAAATATACATGAGGTTAACATCTGACATAAAATATACATGAGGTTAACATCTTACATAAAATATACATGAGGTTAACATCTGACATAAAATATACATGAGGTTAACATCTGACATAAAATATACATGAAGTTAACATCTGACATAAAATATACATGAAGTTAACATCTGACCTAAATATATACATGAGGTTAACATCTTACATACAATGTACATGACGTTAACATCTGACCTAAAATACTCACAAGGTTAACATCTGACATAAAATATACATGAGGTTAACATCTGACATAAAATGTACATGACGTTAACATCTGACATAAAATATACATGAGGTTAACATCTGACATATAATATACATGAGGTTAACATCTGACATAAAATATACACGAGGTTAACATCTGACCTAAAATACTCACAAGGTTAACATCTGACCTAAAATATACATGAGGTTAACATCTGACCTAAAATACTCACAAGGTTAACATCTGACCTAAAATACTCACAAGGTTAACATCTGACCTAAAATATACATGAGGTTAACATCTGACATAAAATATACATGAGGTTAACATCTGACCTAAAATATACATGAGGTTAACATCTGACCTAAAATATACATGAGGTTAACATCTGACATAAAATATACATGAGGTTAACATCTGACATAAAATATACATGAGGTTAACATCTGACATAAAATATACATGAGGTTAACATCTGACCTAAAATATACATGAGGTTAACATCTGACATAAAATATACATGAGGTTAACATCTGACCTAAAATATACATGAGGTTAACATCTGACATAAAATATACATGAGGTTAACATCTGACATAAAATATACATGAGGTTAACATCTGACATAAAATATACATGAGGTTAACATCTGACATAAAATATACATGAGGTTAACATCTGACCTAAAATATACATGAAGTTAACATCTGACATAAAATATACATGAAGTTAACATCTGACATAAAATATACATGAAGTTAACATCTGACATAAAATATACATGAAGTTAACATCTGACATAAAATATACATGAAGTTAACATCTGACCTAAATATATACATGAGGTTAACATCTTACATACAATGTACATGACATTAACATCTGACATAAAATGTACATGACGTTAACATCTGACATAAAATATACACGAGGTTAACATCTGACATAAAATATACATGAGGTTAACATCTGACCTAAATATATACATGAGGTTAACATCTTACATACAATGATTTCAAGGTTTTGGTAAAAAATATTGATCTAGTACTATAATGTTAAATGATATGAGCCGCGTCATGACAAAACCAACATAGTGGGTTTGCAATCAGCAAACTGATAGCGATCAGCATGGATCCTGATCAGACTGCGCGGATGCGTAGGCTGGTCTGGATCCATGCTGGTCTCAAACCCACTATGTTGGTTTTGTCATTACGCGGCTCATATATTTTGTTATTACAGGTGTGACGCCCACCATCAACACTGCATTACTGTCTCAAGTTTCAAGTAACACTCGCCCTGGTTACCATGGTAATGGGCACACCCAGTGGGGAGGACTAAGTTCAAACACAGACTCAACCTCACCAAGTATTGTAGCTGAAGGAAATACATCAGCTTTGATAATAAACGATATTCGTAACAGTACTGTAACTATAGCCTGTCAGAGTGATGTATCTACACATGTACCACAAACATGGTCAAATGAACGACACGGCAGTTTCTCTACTTCAACAATGGAGACAACTCTTGGAGTAACGCCAAATGAGTCGGCACCAAGTCATCCGAAGTCTCAGAATATCAATGCAATGATGAATCAGCCAGTCCCAGCACATCAAGGTCGTAACCCAATAGTTGAACGTAACACACATAAACGAAGTGATGAGGAACTAGCTGTTGTTGGTAAGTTACCACAAAATAAAAACATGTGTAACATGGTGAGATATATTAATAGCACATTGTGAAACATTTATAGCACAATGACAAACATTTGTATCACAATTTGTAGCATTTGTACCATGATATATCATGTAGGGAGTGGGCTGAATAAAGTCCCTAGATTTCACCATGTAGTGAGTGGGCTGAATAAAGTCCCTAGATTTCATCATGTAGTGAGTGGGCTGTTCAAAATCCCTAGATATCATCATGTAGTGAGTGGGCTGTTTAAAATCCCTAGATTTCATCATGCAGTGAGTGGGCTGAATAAAATCCCTAGATATCATCATGTAGTGAGTGGGCTGTTTAAAAATCCCTAGATTTCATCATGTAGTGAGTGGGCTGTTTAAAATCCCTAGATATCATCATGTAGTGAGTGGGCTGTTTAAAATCCCTAGATATATCATGTAGTGAGTGGGCTGTTTCAATTTCTGGAGAGCATCTTTTAGTGAGAGACGGGGTCCATACTCTTACTGCCGGAAAGGGGGATGGACCGTCATTTGAAGCCTAGAATATAAATATTGTTGTGAGTGGGCTGTATGAAAGCCAAGATTTAATCTTGTAGTGCATGGTCTTCCTGGTTCAGTCTTTGCACATACAAATGAAAGAAAATGATTGGTTAATATTTATAGAACACATGTTTTATTCCAGGTAAAATCTATGAGTTTCCTATAAAACATTTTAATCTAGGAGTGTGCATGTCTCATACAAGGCTGTCTTCAGATATCCGCAGTTAATTTCGGGGAAATGTCATAGAATGTCAAATTGTCTTCCTAATTGGTACAATATAAACAATAAAAAATGTTTTTGAAATGTCACAATGTGGTGAAATCTTCCTTTTCTGACTTTAATTTAGCACATGATGTATTGTATTATGAAACCATATCAAATAAAAGGACTTTTAGAATTTAAGGATTCTGTCAAAATAACTTTTTTTATTGTATAATGAATGTTAGGTTGATTTTACAGTAGTTTTATGACAGGTAATCATAATTCTGTTTTAAAGGAATACTATGTTCATCCTCGAATAAAATAGTTTAATCACAGAAATTTATTGAAATCTATGATGTTCTTCTGAATAAGTCTAATTTGAAAACAAAACTGAATAAACCATGTATGAGAAGCTGCGTTTCTCCTATTACAGGTCAAGTAATGTTGCTCTTTCCTTTAAAACAACAGTTATTTTAATGACACTATATATTCATATTGTGACCATCTTTAGTGTGTAGAATTGTATACATAACATGTCTATTTTGTGTGAAGTCAAAACTCGTTTATTTTATATTTACAAAGAGAATGTGTAATAATTATTAATATTTTCTAATATAAACTTTGAGTATAGTACATGTAGTTCTTAAAGGAAATATTTTCTTGTTTATATAAGATCTCATTTTACATTGGAAACACTTATTGTTACAATGATGATTGCAGTCATAGAAAAGTCTATGTGGCTAGTAAGCTATAGTTTACATACTGAATCACATGCTACTTTCTTCACACTAGAGCTGTTAATATTGTTTATAGGAAAAGGCTTCCCAACAAATTTTCTAGTGATCTATGGTTCTACTGAAGTACACTTTTGTGCCTCAAATAATGTCACCCATGGTCTTCCTTTACCATTGAAGCTGGAATGTCTCTGTAATTATGACATTTACAGCATATGAATGTCTTATACCAAGCTGAACACTCAGATATACTATCTAATGTACTTAAATAGTCACAATAAAGGAAAGTTAATTTGACACAAAAGTTCTAAATTTGTGTTTGTTATGTCACTTGATTGATTGAGAGGGGATATTGTTTTTTGTGCGTCCATATGTCTGTGAGAAATGTTTAACGTTGACCTTGACACAGCACTCCTCCAATCTTCAACCTTTGACCTTCACAGGTGCACGTGTCCTTGATGAGCTTCATCTGCATGACCTATATAAAGGTTATGGGGTCACGACCCCCATGAGGCACGACATTCAGGCAAACATAGTGCTTATTAAAGAATCTGAAACTTGGCAAAACATAACTAAGACTATTTTGTAATAAACTGTGAAACATTTATGTATAAACAATTCATAACTTACTGATTTTTATTTCTAGGAAACAACCTGTTTTATGGTAAAGATAAAAGTGAGAGTGATGGTATGGGACATGGTGATAATATATTTGATAATTTCACTGACAGTCTCGAGTCCTCCTTGATGCAGAATGATTCACTGAATCATAATCGGTCACCATATGTACAGAACAGTCGTATAAATACGGGAGTTGGTACAGAAAGGCCACCAAAAATTGTCAACAATCCTAACGAGAGACGAGAAAACATAGCAAATGTAAGTGCTGTTACAAATGTTGCCAATGCACATGTCAGTGCAACTCCAAAGACAAAGAAGGCACGTGAAATGGGAATTTTAGGGCATTTAGCGCTGCTTGGTAAACTTGCTTTTAGTGGAAAACTTGACAATAAAAGAAATATGAATGAAAATGATAGTCCCATGGCTTCGAGTGTTGAGATTGGAAGACATGACAATATTGGTCGTCAAAATCCAACATATGAGCCCTCTAATAGTATGGATACTGAAGTAAGACTGACAAATACAGGCACTGTTGTAAGGCCGACTGTTTTACAGTCCAAACTGTGTAATATTGATAAAAGAGAAATACCCGAGTCAAACTTAAACAAAGAATACCATAGTAATGTTGAAGTGGAAAGTATTGAAAGCAATGAAAATGATGAGTTTCAGAGTGATTCACCTTTAATATCCCGGCACCGAGTTGCTCCGTATTCTAAAAGCACGTCAGACTTAAGTCCTCAAAAGACAAGTCATAATTCAAAACTGGAGGAAGAAAACAAGATGCCTAGGCCAAGTACTCTGTCATTAAAGGGACATAACTACAGTAAATCAAGAAGTGGAAGCTTGAACTCCTTACCAAAGTTTAGAGGCGTCTTGACGCAAAGGAGTGGGAAACCGTCCCTCGGTAAGAAACCATTAAAGAATGGTTATAAAATGATAGATAACGGGGCAAAACTCAAAACTGATGCAACGGACAAGATAAAGTTGCGAAATAAAACACCAGTTCCGGACAAAAATGGCCGTTATTCACTCCACGATGACAGGTTAATGTCTGACAATTGTAAGATGAGAAGGGAAGGCTCGGAGCTGTGGAAATCAAGTGTAAGCCTTCAGCAATTTAAGTCTATTTCTGAGAATGAGTCATCAAATGTTTACACTGATTGTACATGCTGAATATTTGCACAGAATTAGTTTCCCCTTTTTTTGCACTTAGTTGTACTGCTTAATGATATGATATCTGTAATGTATTGAGAAATATGTACACATTACCTTTTTTAATGTGTTTAAAAATGTGTTATTCAGATTATTTATATGTTGATTTATTGTTATTTGATTTGATCAAAATTTAACTTCAATATTATTCTTTAAGCTGTTTTAAACTATGATAGGCACACATATTCATCTTCAGTTGAAATCTCAAACCTGAGGTGTTTTAAAGGTCACTGACATCCAGTCACTTGACCTTTGCTGTGGTCCAAAATTTTATCAGCAACTTTACATTATTAATGTGAAGAAGCTGTCTGGCTAGGTTACAAAACTTTTCCTGCTTCCTCCATCAGTAAAGCTTATGTGGTCATGTGACCTTTAGATGCTTGGTGAAACATAAAACTTGACCATCCAACTGATAAATAAATGAAACAAATCAATGAAAACATTCTGATTATAATAGGAATACTGTCAGTCTCTGGATAGTCATTTTCTCTAGATATTTTCAAAAAGGGAGTTTCACCATTAAAAAATCATAATAATACTGTTAATGATAGGAGTGGATCTTTTTCTGTTACGTAACATTGTTTTGTATTAAAAAGGTTTAACTTTAATTTAAGACATTTATAAAGGTATTTTCCTAAATTGTCATCTATAGACTAAATCTTCCAAGCTGGTGTATACATAATACATAATTGTTAATTCTTATCAAGTTTTAAGTCAATTATGTAAAGATAAGTGACAGTGTTAGATGTACAGGTAAAAAAGGCCAATCATACAGTGTTGATATAATAAAGTTAAAATGAAGTGAGTTTATGCTGTAACTGGTCAGTTTATTATATCCGTATAGTGTTAACTTAAACATTTAAAGTCTTAATATTATTATCATAAATATTGAAATATCCATAAAATACAGAAAAAGCTATTTTATTTATTCTTATGAACATATTGTTTGCTCCAAGAAATTTTGCAACGGCCAAGTCAACTTTTGACCAAGATAAAACTTGTGTTAAAAATTTATTAGTTATAAAAAACAAAATTTTGTAATCATCATGATAATTTCATGGTGTTCATATTTAAAACCTCTCATTTTTTTATCAGCTCATGAATAATGATGGAAATACGTTCATACCATACTTGTTTATTTTTCTTTCTTTTTTATGATTGCTTTCAGAAAGCATATTTTGTTTTTGTTCATGCTTAAATTATTTGTGTTGTATTAATGCTTAAGCTTAAAGCAAAAAGTTTTATTATGTATTCTTTACCAGTTTATTCTCATTCTATTTAACATGTACTTTTTATTTTCTTTTTTATTCTGTTTTGAACTATTACTGTATTTGTTATATAATTGTGTTAAAGTATATAGGTATGTCTGTAAAATTGTACACCTTTAAACTTTGAAATTTTGATAAGTTTAAAGGTATTGACCTATACTTTATAAATTTCAATAACTCTACCATAACACTGTTTTCATTTTTATTTTGTCTGGAAATAGTTCTAACATCAAATTTTTCAAAGTAAACTATCCGATTGTATTTTTAATTTTTGTTCGACTATGTAAAGAATAGTTTGTGTCTTTAGCACTACTGAGGAGAAAGGGTTGAAACTTATCAACTTGTTTTAGAGCATAGTAGGAGGTCACTGTCCAAGACACATAACTCTTACATGCATTTTGACAGATTTTTGACCCTTGTTGAACTTAGAAAATTTTACATTTTCCAGGCTTTTTATTAACTATCGAGCACTGAGAGCACACAGTCTTACTGACAGCTCTTGTATTTACTTTAAATAACTGGATTTTACACCAACTATTCTGTTCACATATAAATAAATTATGTTAGCATAGAATAATTTAGAAATGAAAGCAGTCATTTCGATTTGCTTTTTTTTATTTATATACATTTACATGTATATATGTGACCATTTGTAATGAAAATTAGTAGAAGCAGAAATATTTTTAGAATTGTTACAATTATGTTCAATTTTCAAAAGAGTTGTAATTTTGTTCACACTTAATTTTACAATTATCAACATGTTACATAATTAGTGTTCTATTACATGACTGTATAAAATAAGTGTTTAATTTCAACACTATGTATAACTAGTGTTTTTATTTCAGTAAAGAGTTTTTATTTCAACATTATACATGCATATATGACTAGTGTTTTTATTTCAACACCATATATAGCTAGTGTTTTTATTTTCAACACTAAATATAGCTAATCTTTTTATTTTCAACACTGTATTTAGCTAGTGTTTTCATAAGAACACTTTATGATGGTGTTTCATTTAAACCCTATATAAATGGTGTTTTTATTTAAACACTATATAAATGGTGTTTTTATTTAAACACTATATAAATGGTGTTTTATTTAAACATTCACTATTACAGTGGTAGCAATATTTTACTAAATCATTGTATATACATGAAACATTCTTATTTCATATCTACTTTCTCACTCTTAATCCTTTATTTTGTCCAAACATTCTTCTTATTCATATTATAATATGTAGCTATCATTGTCATCACATCATCAATCATTATTCATCATTATCATCATTCATCATTATCATCATCATGATGCATTATTTGGTTGCAAGTTTTTTCTTTTATATATAAATATAGTCATTTCTTATTTTTATTGCTTACCTGTATTTGTTTAACACTCAGTGCTAACTTTTAAATAATTGGCTTACATTTATGACGATTATGTGCAGCAGTTTTCATTGATAATACCATGTATATATAAGGAATTTTTAAATTAGATTTATCTAGTGTCATGTATACAAGATTAACAGTAATTTAAAACGTCATATAAACATTAATTGATAATGAAATGTTGGAATGATTTTTGTCTCTTTCTTTATGGTTAAAAATATAATGTTATATTTTCCTTGTTAAGAAAAAAATTCAAAATATATCTGAAAGTAATTGGCTACAATATGATTTAGTAAATTTAAGGTAACATCTACTTGCCTGGTATATCACATGAAAATGTGGGTCACCATTTTACATATATACGAAATATATGTGTGCAGATTATGTTAATATCTGTGTCACAAGTTAGCGTGTGGTTACAGGAGAAGTATATTTGTGACATAAATTCGGCATATAAAATTATGTAAACATTTATGACATATTTTACAGATGCAAAGATTTTATGCATCTATATGATAATTTATGTTTAAAGACATTGGTATGAAAATATGTATAGATTTATGACATCATTTTCACAAATTATATATGAAGGTTTTACCAGAAGAATTTACCAATTAGTCAACATGTTCATGTTAAAGCATAATGTTATATTCCATGCAGTTTTTGGTGCGCTTTACGCCATGTCTTTCATCGGAGAAGAAAAACACACATATACATACTGTATTAATGTTTTATATTTTATGTTACTGTTTTTATTACTTATATAAGTGAACTTTTGTGATTTAGTGGTCAATGTGAGTTTCATTAAGACGACCTTACAATCATCAAAGTATGGAAATTATAGCCCTCTACCATCTTTAGTGGCTGAAAATTAAACGTTATGTTTCCATGGAAATTCACTTAATCCAAGTGTTATTGTAAACATATACACACCAACAAGGACCGGTAGTTATAACTATAATATACCTGTCATTAACACAAAATCTTTTTCATGTATATATACACTGATGTTCATTACATTATATTTGTAATAAAAGTGCTTATTATCTCCCCTGACAGTCAAAGAATCATGACTTATCTCCCCTGTTAATATGTGCTCACAATTTATCTCCCCTTGATTAGTTAAATAGCAATTCTGTCTTATATAATATAAGGATAGGAAATACAATATTAACAATAATTGAACATTCAAGTTTTAAACCTGTTGTACACACGTGTTCACTATTTCCTAAATATTTAAAATATGGTTTTTAAATGAATGACATTGTAATAATTTTAATCATTTTTTTTTTTGTGATTTAGATTAATCTCTGCAGATGGGGGATATTTTAAACCTTTTTACAACTTGTAAAACTTAGATGTGATTTTATACAGAGCTATTTAATGTTGCTATAAACATGAACAAATACATTTAGACAGATTAAAAGAGAAAACATGTAGTCATAAAGTGATGTATCTTCTATTACATTGAACACTTTTATTCAATAATTGTGTTTTAATTGTGGTACTTCATACCTGGTCCAAGTGCTAGTTTGTTTTTTCTTAAATTTACCTTTTTTTCTCTTTATAAATGTAAATTAATTGGCCAGAAATTTTCTTTATGACAAATAATTGAATGACACAATTAAATTAGTAATGTTAATAGAGTATATTATAATTTTGTTTTAAGTAAATGGAGTTAAATTTCTTTATGCAGTCATTGGAATAAGACAGATTTAGATAACGTCAATGTTCAGTTTTTGTGCCATACAAGTAATATTACCACAATTATCTAGTAAACAGTCAATGCCACATCATTCAGTACCTTCTTTTGTAATTGATATTTTCATAATGGTGTTACCACAAACAAATTTATTGTTAGACAAGAAATTGACCTTTATTTTGTGTAATGTCACGGTCACCGTTTATGTGTCATGAAAAAAAAATAGACTAAAAAAGGAAAGAAATTGAACATTATTAATTATTTTGTCATACATATATATATTAATGAACTGATTCACATATTCTTGTTGAACAACATAAATAAAAAAAAAAAATAAATAAAAAATCTGGAACATTATGCAGATAAAATAATGGATTTTGATTTTGAGTTATATGACGAAACAGTACAAATTTAAATTTGGGGGGATTAGTGCTATAATGCATTTTACATTATATAAAATTGTTTCTTTTGTGCCATACGATATAGACGGGGATTAAATCATCGTTATTAGTTACCATAGTTACCAACTGTACCAAGTACTCATAATGGTATATGTTAATATGAGCCACGTCACAACAAAACCAACATAGTGCGTTTGCGACCAGCATGGATCCAGACCAGCCTGCGCATCCGCACAGTCTGATCAGGATCCATGCTGTTCGCTTACCAACTCTATAACAAGTAGAGAAACTGATAGCATGGATCCTGATCAGACTGCGCGGATGCGCTGGCTGGTCTCCATCCTTCCTGGTCGCAAACGTACTATGTTGGTTTGGTCATGACACTGCTCATATAGATCTTTACAATTGTTCCTTACAATAAATACACCTATTACACTAGTAATGAACCAGTTACAGTTAATATTTTGTTTCATTCAAAGCACAGCTTTTTCAGTTAATCACGTAAAGTTTAAGATTTAGTTTCAATTTGGGCACCTCTTAAATTGTCCAGTTTGTCTAATATGTAACCATTTCTGACAATGTTATTATTTGTGTTAAAATGTCTAATGTTGTAGTAAAGAAACAAAATAGTTTCATTTTTTATGTAATATTAAAATCAATGGCAAAAGAGAAAATTATAACATTGAAATCTGATAAGATTTCTTTTTGTCATCTGTCAAAATTTTGTGTCACTGGCTGCGTCCAATCAAAGATAGGTTCTCCTCTGTATTGACAGAAAATTCTTGATTTTTTTTTCTTACCTGTTTATTGACAAGGGAACAACTATGGTTATTTGTTACTGTATGGGAAACACTGACAAACATGGAGAATTAAAGATGAACATAAATAATAAGATTGTGAGAGAGATAAATTTAACATTATGCTGTAAGCTCTATAGTACTGCTAACTGTGTTATTGTTTCTATTTTATAATGTTGCAGAAATTGTAATAATTTTATGGCAATAAAATTGCTGCTTTGTGGAATTATTTGTTTGTTATATTACAATATAATTGTTGTCATGACAACATGCTATATCTTGTTGCTATGGTGATGTCACAAGTCTTTGTTTTTTCCCGTTATACCTGAATTTTCTTCAGTATGTCCTCACAAGTTAACAATATGAAGTTGCAGTTATATGGCCTCCCAGGCTAAGCAGTTATGGTGGCAGACATCATTTCACTTACACTTTACCATTGTGAGTGGTTTAAATCCCATCAGGGACTTTGGAATCTTTCATGTGAGGCAGATTTCTAGGTCATTGGTTTTACTCAGGTAATTTTTCTCCGGCTTGAAATAATGCACAAGGAGCACCTGTGTATTTCCTTCACCAGGACAGCTGGAAAGTCACCATATTGACCTTTAGTGTCTGTATGATCCAACAAATTAGTTCCAGCCACAAGTTTTGATTGTTGTCAGAAGCTAATTAACCGAGTTCAAGAAGGGGAAATTACTCTGGAAATATTGGCACAGTTGACAATTTTTGTTATTCATTGTACACATTGAAAAATATTCAACTTTTCAATAAATGTAGTGCAAACATCATTAGAGCATTCAGAAGAGATGACTGGGAAAAAATGGTTTTCACAAAGTTATGTTATATAACTTGAAATGTCATTGTTTTAAATGGTTTGTATGAATATGTAAGTACTAATGGTCCCGCGTCGGTTAACAATACCTTAATGTATTTCTGAAGTGAATGAAGAGGAAATATGTTTAAATTCTGTAGCTAACCTGCATTATTGTTAGAAGGTTTAGTAAAATAGAATTCCAAAAATATCTAACTTACCAAAACCATGTTGTATCTGAAGGTTTAAAAGTGGAAATGGATGCCTGCTTATTAGGTAACTTGCCAGTATTTAACCCTCTGTATTAGTCAGTATGTGCAACATGAAACCAAATGTTTAGATAGTTATAATATTGTATAATATACATTTACATTGTATATAATATAAAATTGGTGTTGCCTCAGTGTAACTTGCCAATATCTAGGCCTATGTATCGCTTGGTGTATTTTGTATTAACACACTGGTACACATAAAACTTTTTTATATGTAAAGCCAGAATATATTAACTATACCAATAATCATTGTGCTTAAAAAGGGAAAGAACTGTAGAAAATATGGATGCTTAAATTATGCAACTTGGCAAAATCATGGACAAGTGTGTATAGTATGAAGACATTGTTACATCGAGATCTAGAAATATATATCTAACTTGCCAGACTAAATCAACCATTGAAGATAAAAACCTTGATAGTGTTCCTAGATAACTTCTCCACATGTACATGGATACTTCTCCACAACTATGACTTGAAACTGATTTGATTACAAATTTCATGTCAATTTATATTGCATACTTTGTTTAAATCTGCATCCACTCTAGATAAATGACTAACAGTGAATTCATTAAACAAATCTAGAAATGAACATTTGAAAATTAAGTTTTATTTCTTCATCAAAACACCATTAACACTTTTGAGGGGATCACAAGTCTTATCTAACATAAAACATTTCATATATAAAACAAAATTCAGTATGAAATAAAACTTAAATGGTTTCAAATAAGTCACCTCCTCAATGCTAAAACATATACTTCCCTCATATATAATAATACACAAATAAATGTTTTATTGCATCAAGTTTAATTAAAAAAATATTCTTAACTTTATTTACAGAAATAGGAGAGTGAAACAAAGTTATGTTGTAAATTACATGGCAACCTTTCCAGTGTTTCATTAAAAGCAGCATGCCTCAAGATTCGTGCTTATTTTCATGACAATTTTGAAAATGTATTTAAAATCAAAATATTTTGAAGTGAACAACGAAAGTAATTTACACATTGCAAATGGCACATACAATCCACGTCAAATGCCAAAGTAGGTCAAATATGCAAAAGTACTTCTTACTGCATTAGTAACACATTAGAATTATATTAATTGATACTGCAAAATCATTCATTAATTGCACTTAATATATAAAGCACTAATTAAATATTGAATCATTTTACTTTTTTTTTTAAGATCTTAATACATTTTTTCTAAATTTTGAATTTCTTGATATATGTTGGCTCATATGGAGGCATGCAGTTTTTTTTTGTTTTTGTTTTGTTTTGGTTTTACATCACATCAACACAGCATAGGTCATATTGCAACTTTCAAGCTTTACTGATGGAGGAAGACCTCCGGTGCCCTTCCGTGCATTATTTCAGTCACAAACGGGCACCCGAGTAGAACCACCGACGTTCCGTAAGCTAGCTGGATAGCTTCCTCACATGAAAGAATCCAAAGTCCCTGTCGGGATTCGAACCCACAGCGATGAGGGGCAAGTGGTTTGAAGTCAACAAACTTAACCACTCGGCCATGGTTTTACCAACAACAATTTGTCAAAAAAAATATTATCATTGACAAAACAAATATATGAGATATAAAACTGACTAGTTTTAGTTTAATTATTATATTCACCATGTATTTCAATATCAATACCTTTATTATTAATCATAAAAAATAACATTCTTTAAAATAAACATACCTGAGTTACATCAACTTTTTACCTACAAAAATCTATTCATTATTATTTACATGCATACCTTACAAGGTAACTACATCTATAAAAACAGTTTTGATTAAAAAAAAAGAAAGAAAAATATGTGCTTCATATAAAATAACTTTGTAGTTGATTATATATACAAAGGAAGACATAAATAAACAAGATCTATTTTTGAATAACAACAAATTTGACATTTTATGACACCTTACAACAACCTGTAAAGTATATGAAATAAACATGATTTACTATGAGAAACAGAAACAGATTGTCAATTTACTAACTGATTAAAATCCAGTGTGCATCGATTAAGATTCAGTAAGTTAGTCACATCTTTATTTATGCTTGCATCAAAGTTACACATCTATATATTGTGTATCTGTGTCAAACACATTATTCTATATAAAGCTCAGGTTCAGTTCCACACATCTATATATAGCTCATGTTCAGTTCCATTTATCTATATATAGCTCATGTTTAGTTCCACACATCTATATATAGATCATGTTCAGTTCCACACATCTACATATAGCTCATGGACAGTTCCACACATCTATATATAGCTCATGTTTAGTTCCACACATTTATATATAGCTCATGTTCAGTTACACAAATCTATATATAGCTCATGTTCAGTTACACACATCTATATATAGCTCATGTTCAGTTACACAAATCTATATATAGCTCATGTTCAGTTACACAAATCTATATATAGCTCATGTTCAGTTCCACACATCTATATATAGCTCATAATTAGTTCCACACATCTATATATATAGCTCATGTTTAGTTCTATACATCTATATATAGCTCATGTCCACACATCTATATATAGCTCATGTTTAGTTCCACACATCTATATATAGCTCATGTTCAGTTCCACACATCTATATATAACTCATGTTTAGTTCCACAATTCTATATATAGCTCATGTTCATTTCCACACATCTATATATAGAGCTCATGTTCAGGCCTACACATCTATATATAGCTCATGTTTAGTTCTACACATCTATATATAGCTCATGTTTAGTTCTACACATCTATATATAGCTCATGTTCAGTTCTACACATCTATATATAGCTCATGTTTAGTTCCACAATTCTATATATAGCTCATGTTCAGTTCCACACATTTATATATAGCTCATGTATCTATATATAGCTCATGTTCAGTTCCACACATCTATATATAGCTCATGTTCCGTTCCACACATCTAAAAAGCTCATGTTTAGTTCTACACATCTATAACTAGCTCATGTTTAGTTCCACGCATCTATATATAGCTCATGTATCTATATATAGCTCATGTTCAGTTCCACACATCTATATATAGCTCATGTATCTATATATAGCTCATGTTCAGTTCCACACATTTATATATAGCTCATGTATCTATATATAGCTCATGTTTAGTTCCACACATTTATATATAGCTCATGTTTAGTTCCACACATTTATATATAGCTCATGTTTAGTTCTACACATCTATATATAGCTCATGTTCCGTTCCACGCATCTATATATAGCTCATGTTTAGTTCCACGCATCTATATATAGCTCATGTATCTATATATAGCTCATGTTCAGTTCCACACATTTATATATAGCTCATGTATCTATATATAGCTCATGTTCAGTTCCACACATCTATATATAGCTCATGTTTAGTTCCACGCATCTATATATAACAATGTTCAGGTCCACTCATCTACAAGTACATATAGCACATATTCAAGTCCACACATCCTCTTTGTAACGTCTATTTAATCTCAGCATCATAATTAGTTTACTTGACTCTTCATTTGTTATACCTAAAATGATATTTAAAATCTTTATGATTTAAACAAAACAAAGAAAAGAAATTGGGGGTAACCATCCTTTTTTTTTAGCTATCTGCCTTTTAAAGTGAATTGTTTTGTTCTTTTTAGGTCATTTTTTTGAGCAAACAACTCAAAAATGTAGCCAAGCAACACCTCATTTGGTATTCAAAATAAATATGTTAGTCTACTAATTGTCATGATGCAAAATTTGCTGTAATTTCATGCAACAGATTATATAGTTGCTTTAGCAAAATATGATAATTTTTCTCCCCAAGTTAAGATGATTTGAAGAAAAAAATCAGTATGTTTAATCATTGAAGCATAGTAAAATATATTTTTGATAAAATTGTTTTAACTTTGCATAACAAGTGAAAATAGAAAAACCAAACATAATTTGAAGTATTGCTATTCTTTATCTTGAGTTATCTGCTCCTGAAAATGACATAAGAGTAAAAAAATCTCACTTTCAGGGGCAAGTATCTAAATAAGCAGGATGGTGACCTCCCACCCCAAATTTTGTTCTCGTCATTTTTTTTCAATCGTTATCCTCTTTAATCATGAAAACTTTCAGAAATTTCTGTGCTAATTTAAGTTTTCCTTGTTTGCCTTGTAAATTTTTTTATTTATCCCGAAAATGTCTTTATTGAGAGGCCATCTTGTTCAGCAGACCAGAGAAACTTTAGTTACTACAGTTCAGTACCATCTTAAAATATAACCAACTAGTATATACCAGATACTATGATTTATCTCTGACATCTTGATACCTCACAACATGTATATACAATCTCTGCAGTTTTTCACTTTATAAACAACAGCTGATATAATACTAGTAATGTAATACAGTATAAAAGCAAATAACATTTCTTCTGTAAATGACTATCATTATTTTGTTTTATCATCGAGCTTGCAAATAATTTAAGTGAGATTTTAGTGTTTGACATGGATGTTTAAATTGTTTAACATAATAACAAACCTTTACACTTGGCAAAAATATCAATGAATGCCTGGTTAACATCCTTTGCCATATTTTTGGCATCACCACACACATATATTACAGCATTTCTCTCCTCTATCAATGAGACAACTTCCGCTCCGTGTAACCTCAGATTGTCCTGCACATATCTCGGTGACTCTGATGGAAGTTCATCACGTGAAAAACTCACATGTAACTTTGTTAGTACTAACGTTGACAGATGATTGGCTAGTTTATCTCTGTAATTTACAAACTAAATGCATAAATAATCATAAATAGTCACTGGAATTTTAGTAAATCAACAAATTTGAATTCTGATAAAGGTAGATCAATATGTTACAGAATACAACAGTTCATTAAGGGAGAATTTCGTGTAAACTGAAAGATATCTTGATTAGTAAAACTGCAGAACAGTATTCTATGAATCAAAGGAGTCCCAAGTCAGGCGGCACATTTTTCTCAAATTATTACAAATAAATACCTAAAAGAATATTTATATAAATAGAGGATATTGAGTGAGTGTAGGTTTGATAATAAATTTACTGAACAAGTTCAATGAATTTAGTATTGAATCTAGGGTTTTGAATCTACACGAATATAATATTCTTTTTATCACATATTTAAAATAAGAACGGCAAACTGTTAAACAGTCTTTTTTCATTGACGCGCCTATAATGTAACGCTAACATTAGCGTGCTTTAACGCTATGTTTATATATGGCGCATTGACGCCACGTCAAAGTGTTATTACACTAGTGTAATATCGTTTTTATTAAATGGCTTTATTACACTCGTGCGCCGTGGTTTATGTGATAAATACAGCATAAAACATTTTTAGTGATTTCTATGTGAATGTTGCCATTCTTGTTCGACTGAAGTCAAACTTTCACTTCTTAATATCTCACTTTCATATCCCTCCCCAACCAACCTCCTCACCACAATCATGCTTTTTGACCATGTAACAAACTCTTCATAATGTAAAGTATTGCAGAACAACCATTATCATGTTCATCCCTTCAGTTTTAAAACAATCTTTAAAGTGGCTCTATGTATAATCAAAACATTCTCCCAAACAATACATTATGCATTTTTTTATGCATCTACCAACTCTTTCACACTGGAGGAATAAATATTGTTACATTTCATAAATGTTTCATATTTTTCATGTTTTAAAGAATTAAAATTCTTTTAAAGAATTAAAATTCTTTAAAACACTGCCACCCATATTAGTGATGCTCAAACTTTTTGTAGTCTTTTACCCACTTTCACACATACAAGTTTTTTTTCTTTTACACCTCCCAAAGCTTTATGAATGATAGCACTTAGGTATATATAATTATAGTCCATGAAAGAATGATGTTTACCTGAAGAGATAATCCCTATCTTTATGTCTACAACCATAAAACAGCCAGACTTCACCAAACTCTGTATCTGTCAGTGTTTGTCTCTCACTACATCTGTGATCTAAGAAACCAATAAATGGTGCCACACCCGTTCCAGGACCAATCAGAATTAATGGTACTGTCACATCATCAGGCATATGAAAACTCTGATTAGTTCTTCCAAATATTGGAATCTAAAAGATAAAATTTACTTTCTTACATGCTTCACAGTATTCGCCTATCAAACAGATCGGGCTGTCACATGCATTATTACATGATATATGCACAGCACAAAAAAACAAATGCTTACACGACATATAACGTCAAATATGACATCAATAAACCAAATGACGTCGGGAAATTACTTCAACGCTCAATGTAGTTCAGCATATTTTTATCAATTCTCTTTTCTATAAGCATGTTAGAATTAGAAATAGATATAACTTTTTCTTGCATTCTATTATATATAATAATACAGGTTTATCGTTCAAATGCTTTGTAATTAATCACTCAGGCCTATCAGCCTTATTGATTATATTCCTGCGCATTTGAACTCGACCCATGCATTATTTTACAACAATGCACTCAAAATTGATATCTATTTCCTAAATAGTTATTGACTGACTTCTTTAGACTGGTTCTAGATTGATCATATACTACAGATGACAAGAATTTTAAACATAATGTCAGCAAATAACAAGAGCCGGTTGAACCGGGTGATGCGCCCCGATTAGGTTTTGGACACAGGAAGGTATACCTCTTGTTGTGTCAGAGTTATGCCACAGACAAAGTTCAGTGTAAAAACAACCCAAATATTGTGCACAACACATTGTCTCAATATTGTGATCATTTTTGTGAAATAGTTGTAAAATCCGACTTCAAATAACGAAGTAATGCGCTGGACATGATTTTGCTGCAAGGTCATGACATGACCTTGACCTTCAAGGTAGGGACCCAAATGTTGCATGCGGCACGTCGATTCAATATGGTGATCATCTCTGTGAAATAGTTGTTAAATCCGACTTCCAGTAACAAAGTTAAGGGCCGGACATGCTTTTTGCTGCAAGGTCATGCTGTGACCTTGGGCGACCCAAATGTTCCGGACCCTGCGTCTCAATATGGTGATCAATTCTGTGAAATATTTTTAAAATCCGACTTCAAATAACAAAATTATGGACCGGACACGATTTTGCTGCAAGGTCATGCTGTGACCTTGACCTTCAAGGTGGCGACCCAAATGTTCCGGACCCTGCGTCTCAATATGGTGATCATTTCTGTGAAATATTTTTAAAATCCGACTTCAAATAACAAAGTAATAGGCCGGACACGATTTTGCTGTAAGGTCATACTGTGACCTTGACCTTCAAGGTAGCTACCCAAATGTTGCGCGCGACACATCGTCTCAATATGGTGATCATTTCTGTGAAATATTTTTAAAATCCGACTTCAAATAACGAAGTTATGGACCGGACACGACTTTGCTGCAAGGTCATGCTGTGACCTTGACCTTCAAGGAAGCAACCCAGATGTTGCGCGCGACACATCGTCTTAATATGGTGATCATTTCTGTGAAATATTTTTAAAATCCGACTTAAAATAACAAAGTAATAGGCCGGACACGATTTTGCTGTAAGGTCATGCTGTGACCTTGACCTTCAAGGTAGCTACCCAAATGTTGCGCGTGACACATCGTCTCAATATGGTGATCATTTCTGTGAAATATTTTTAAAATCCGACTTCAAATAACGAAGTTATGGACCGGACACCATTTTGCTGCAAGGTCATGCTGTGACCTTGACCTTCAAGGAAGCAACCCAGATGTTAAGCGCGACACATCATCTCAATATGGTGATCATTTCTGTGAAAAAGTTTTAAAATCCGACTTTAAATAACAAAGTAATGGGCCGGACAAGGTTTTGCTGAAAAGTCATGCTGTGACCTTGACCTTCAAGGTAGCGACCCAAATGTTGCGCGCGACACATCGCCTCAATATGGTGATCATGTCTGTGAAATATTTTTAAAATCTGACTTCAAATAATGAAGTTATGGACCGGACACGATTTTGCTGCAAGGTCATGCTGTGACCTTGACCTTCAAGGTAGCGACCCAAATGTTGCGCGCGACACGTCGTCTCAATATGGTGATCATTTCTGTGATATAGTTTTAAAATAACAAAGTTATGGGCCGGACACGAATTCGGGACATACGTACGGACGGACGGACGGACGGACAACCCGACAACTATATGCTCCCCCGAAATTTTTCCGGGAGCATAATAAATATTCCTGAATTCTGGAGGGAAGTTGCTATAGTTTCATTTTTGTTAAATAAACAGACTGTCAGAAGTTAACTGATACTTAAGCATTTTCATTTTATATCACTATCATAAATATATTCATGCAGCAAAAGTATACATTATTTTCATTCAAAATAAGTTTACATTATTTTCATGCAGCAAAAGTTTACATTATTTTCATTCAGCATAAGTTGACATTATTTTCATTCTGCATAAGTTTACATTATTTTCATTCAGCATAAGTTTACATTATTTTCATTCAGCATAAGTTGACATTATTTTCATTCAGCATAAATTTACATTACTTTCATCCAGCTTAAGTTTACATTATTTTCAAGAAAATTAATTCAGATTTTATCTACTTTTCAGACATGATAAATGAATGATCACAAATAAGTTAAAACACCCATACCTTTATCTCAGACAATTTCATTTCTTTAAAACCCTGTTCAATTTCCGTCTCCGTAGACTCTAGGATCTGCAATTCCTTTTCTGTAGAATGAGACATTCCTTCCCAGCCATCCAGTACACATCCCTTTTCTGTAATAGGTTCTTCCATTATCAGCCTCAATGTCAACAACATTGAAAATGAAAGAAATTTTTCCTGTCAAGGTTAAAGATGAGCAACATACAGAATATGGTCGTGGCTGTAACCTTGGTAAGTGTTCTAAAAATAGAAGACAAAGAGAATGAGAGAGAGAGGTAGAGTGTGATGAATTTTACCACATATCTTTTCAGTTATGTACAAAGGCCGGGTTGCATTTGTATACCAAAGATCATGAGGCTGTGAAAATTTTCTACCATTGACCATTAATGTCGAAAAATTAACTGAGTAAACAAGAAGTGGATGAGTGACAGACCTGAAATCAAATCTCACGGTATGGGACCATGTGCAAATGCTGTATACTAAATATCAAGAGGCTGTGATAAGTACATGTAGTTGCTGAGAAAAATGTTACAAAAATTTCCTGTGCATCTGTGCAACCTGACCAAAATGAAAAAAATAAGAAAAGTCATACATCATTATCAGCTTTCTTGTTTGGCTCATCATACTATATATTGTGTTCAATCAACATAAAACAAGAGGGCCATGATGGCCCTGAAGTCGCTCACCTGTATATAGGCCCCTGGAGCGGGGCCAGTTTAAACCCCAGGGCATTTATTTAAACAAACTTGGTAGACACCCATTAGAAAATGTTTCATGCTAAACATCTAAGGTCTAGCTCATTGGGTTTTTTATAAGAAGATTTTTCAAGTTTTTTCTTTACACATATAGATAAAAACAATGACACACACAGGGCAGGGCCAGTTTTGACCCCAGGGCTTTTATTTGAACAATCTTTGTAGACACTTACTAGAAAATGTTTCATGCTTAATATCTAAACTCTAGCTATTCGGGTTTTTTCAAAGAAGATTTTTAAGTTTTTGCTATTCACATATAAGGAAAATTAATGTCCCCGGGACGACGCCAATTTTGACCTCAGGGCTTTTATTTGAACAAACTTGGTAGACATTCACTAGAAGATGCCTCGTGCTTAATATCTAAACTCTAGCTATTTGAGTTTTTTCAAAGAAGATTTTTAAGTTTTTGTTATACACATGTAAGGAAAATGAATGACCCCCGGGGCGGGGCCAATTTTGACCCCAGGACTTTTATTTGAACAAACTTGGTAGACACTCACTAGAAGATGTTTCATGCTTAGTATCTAAACTCTAGCTATTTGTTTTTTTTTTCAAAAAAGTTTTTTTAAGTTTTTGCTATACACATATAAGGAAAATCAATGACCCCCGGGGCGGGGCCAATTTTGACCCCATGGCTCATATTTGAACAAACTTGGTAGACATCCATTAGAACATGTTTCATGCTAAATATCTTAGCTTTAGCTCTTTCAGTTCTTTAAAAGAAGATTTTTTAAGTTTTTACTATATGCATATAGGGAAAATCAATGACCCCCTGGGGCGGGGCCAATTTTGACCCCAGGGCTTTTATTTGAACAAACTTGGTAGACACCCATTAGAAGATGTTTCATTCTAAATATTTAAGCTCTAGCTCTTTCGGTTCTTTAAAAGAAATTTTTTTAAGTTTTTACTATATGCATTTAGGGAAAATCAATGACCCCCTGGGGCGGGGCCAATTTTGACCCCAGGGCTTTTATTTGAACAAACTTGGTAGACACTCACTAGAAGATGTTTCATGCCAAATATCTAACGTCAAGCTCTTTGGTTATTTTTTAACAATATTTAAAGTTTTTTCTTTCGGTTGCCATGGCAACCAGAGTTCTGCATGGAATTAAATTCTTTGAACAATTTTTAAAGGTGACCACCAAAGGAACATTCCTGTGAAGTTTGGATGAAATTGGCTTAATGGTTTATGAGGAGGTGTCATTAAAAGCAAAAGTTTACGGACGGACGGACGCCGGACGGACGCCGGACGAAAAGCGATCACAAAAGCTCACCCTGTCACTTTGTGACAGGTGAGCTAAAAATGAACGCCCACTCAAAATTTAAGGCCAGGTTACAGGACTAAAGACCTTAAAAATCTATTTGTAACATACTTTATATTGATGGTTGTCATGGGTTAAGCAACAGAAGTCACTGCCATGGGTAATCAGAGATATGGAAAAGCAACATGGCTTACATTGATATATAAAATTAGCTTGTTTATTCCTTGACATAACAAGTATTTCTTTGATAATAATCAAGGGATGTCTGGGAAATCAAAGAATGATGCAATTATAACTCAATACTTGAGGACATGTTACACATGTCATGTGATAATAGGTCAGCTAGAACACTGTATAGAATATAGATAATACAATATACCTATCAACCTGTCTACTGGTGGATGGCAGGAGGAGAAGTTGTTTAAAATATCTAATATACTCAGTGATGGCTCTCTAATAAACCTGGCATACTCCTCATTCCCTTGTTTACTACATAACTCTTGAAGTCGTCTTTTCTCCTCTACACAACTTGTATATTCTAACAATACCCTTAGAAGTGCCTGAAAAAAATAATAACTTACTTACTCAATATAAGTTTGTCAAAAATAATGCTGCCAAACTCAAACAAATTCAAAATGAGTTTTTGTTTCAAATCATTTTTTTTCAAAGATGTTTATAGGTTTTAAGTCATACCACCATTATAAAGGTTATTTAGCAACATTCAGCTGTACTGGTTGAGGAAGCTTGTAGCTTTTTTCTTCGTGCATTATTTGAGGCACATGTAGACTCCAGGGGTAGAATCACCAACCATAGAGATCTTCCTCATATTAAAGAATCTTAAGTCCTTGACTTCATTATAAATGTCAGTAGTACAGGACAAGAAATTAAAAATAACAAAATAAATAAACAAGAACTGTCAGTAGACCAGTATGCTCAACTATTCTCAATGCTTGATCGTAAGAAAAGTCTGGATAATGTACTGTTTTCTAATTGCAAATTCTGTCAAAATCCATGTTAGAGTTATGGGCCTTGGATAGTGACCTTCTTTTATTCTCTATAAATAAGTTATACTCTATAAATAATAAGCGTAGGAAGTTTCAACCCATTCCCTAAAGTAGTTTTGGAGATACCAACATGCATGCAAAAACTGACCTGAAGCTTGATGCCACTGCCTGGCTCAGTTAAATAGCCCTCCTTATTCTTTGAATAGTCAAGCTAACCCTAACCCTAGCTAAAAATTAATATACATACCTTTTTTGGAGGTTCCCTGATATCAAGACATGTAGTGAAGATATGCCTTAATGTACTAACTTCTGGTACAAACTTGGGTATACTAGCATTTCTCTTCTTAGTATTCTCTAACACTGAGATCTTTACACATGTATCTATTTCACTCAATACATTCAACCTGGTAACAAAACATTTCATGTCATCATAATAAAGTTTTTTTCTATCTATCATAAAGAGACTTTATATAAAATAAAATAAATTCAGTGAAACTATTCCTCTTCTATTAAATTCATTTGCTTTTATAAAAGTCAGTGAGACTGATGCATCTTATCTAATATGATTTTGAGGCAATAAAATAAATATCATCGAAGCATAAAGGCTAAAATGGCACCAGTATATTATTAGTTATAAAGATTTTTGACAGGTTTTATGGTCCTATATATATATACGGCTGTTTGGAACTATAACCCAAGCCGCTAGTCAAGGGCTATATTGCAAACAACCATTTATATAAGGTCATATAACCTTTTAGGAATATTTATAACGAATTTATGATTCAGCAAACTTCCAAATTGACAGCAGCCATGTATATAAAACTATACAAAGATCATGATTATCCAATGAAAAGTGACGTAGCAAACATGCAGTATTATTAAGTCAGATCAGTGTAAAACATCAATGAAGTCTTTCTGGACTCTAATATAATATTTTAATATAATAATATAAATCAATGGACAGTTCTTCATTCTACCTGGGAAAGTCTACATCTGAATAAATTTATTTTTTATAGTGAAATGATACGATTAACATTATCTATAACAAAACATGCACATGTATATACACAATTTAAATGACTTTTTACAGTTTGTTTGTCAAGCTTTTACGCCTAATTCATTGATATGGGTCATATCTTGGTGGTTGGTCCACATGATAACTAACACGTAGTTATCAACTTCTCCACAAGTAAACAACTACTACCCTCATATGATTTCTGAATCAGCTGTGACAGCAAAATATCATTAGACTTAATGTACAAGATGAAATGACATAGAGAAATTCTGCCCAGCTCAATGATTAAACCAGCAACCAATGCATTACAAATATGATGAAATCACTATTTAGTTAATTAGGCAGACTATTAGGTGAAATAATAAAGTTTAACATAAGTAAATTATAAAACATTTATATCAACAATGATTATAATGAGGGAGTATCACATGTATATTATACCTGGTAAGTAAAGATTGTACTTCTGTTTCATCATTTGGACAGACAACAGAAAAACTGTCTCCTGGCTTATACTGGATATCACTCTCCTGGTAAACAAAAAAAAACATCATTGTGAGCATTATAACTCCTTAATGAACAAATTTATACATGTATACCACTCCTATCATAATTATATTATAATGTCTACATACTAACAGGGGAGAAATATCTGATCAAGATCTATATATCTCCCTGTAAAATTTCAACATAACATATTAACTTTTATCAGTCTGCAGGGTTCCCATTAACATTGCTATAAGACAGTTTGTTTTGATTTTGAGGTAGTCATTTTTTTGGTTTTAACACAAACAACAAAGAGTGTTTTCAAGGTAAAGATTTGATGATTCATTATTTATGAATTACAAAGTTATGCTTTATTTCCCAATTTTCAGTATTTTTAACTAAAAGTGTTATATATAGAGGATATTTGTTTGGTTCAGTGTAAGATCGGAATATATTTCACCAAGTAAGCAACAAACTGAAAAGGTATATTTCACGAGTGGCGCAGCCACAAGTGAAATATGAACTTTTGGTGTTCATGAGGTGAAATATATTCCAATCTTACACTAAACTAAACAAATTTTCTTTTTATTATATGCAGAGAAACGTGTAAAAAGACATTTTAACCTAATACTAAATGAAAAGAGCGCCAAATTATAATAAAACATGGCGTCATTATTTATGACGTAGCGTCATTAAGTTGGTTTCCAGTACTGTGTACGCTGGTATTTCACTGAAATAATTGATAATTTCATGGTTTGAAACCACGAAATTATCAGAATTTTATTTCACCGATATATATCCATAAGCCACTGAAAAGCATGTAATAAAATGATTTACCCTATGATGACTTTCAGCCATTTTTTGTTAACTTGGAAAAACAAGAGGGCCATGATGGCCCTGAGGTCGCTCACCTGTATATAGGCAGCCCCCAACCCCCGGGCCAATTTTTACCCAAGGGCTTTTATTTGTTTATTTGAACAGACTTGGTAGACACCCATAAGAAGATGTTTCATGCTAAACATCTAAGTTCTAGCTCATTGGGTTTTTTAAAAGAAGATTTTTAAAGTTTTTACAATACACATATAGTTAAAAACAATGACACCCCTGGGGCGAGGGCCAGTTTTGACCCCGGGCTTTTATTTGAACAAACATTGTAGATATTTACTTAAAGATGTTTCATGCTTAATATCTAAACTCTAGCTATTTGGGTTCTTTAAAAGAAGATTTTTGCTATACACATAAAAGGAAAATCAATGACCCCCCCGGGCGGGGCCAATTTTGACCCCAGGGCTTTTATTTGAACATACTTGGTAGACACCCATTAGAACATGTTTCATGCTAAATATCTTAGCTCTAGCTCTTTGAGTTCTTTAAAAGAAGATTTTTTAAGTTTTTACTATATGCATATAGGGAAAATCAATGACCCCCTGGGGCGGGGCCAATTTTGACCCCAGGGCTTTTATTTGAACAAACTTGGTAGACATTCATTAGAAGATGTTTCATGCTAAATATCTTAGCTCTACCTCTTTGGGTTCTTTAAAAGAAGATTTTTTAAGTTTTTACTATATGCATATAGGGAAAATCTATGACCCCCTGGGGCGGGGTCAATTTTGACCCAAGGGCTTTTATTTGAACAAATTTGGTAGACATTCACTAGAAGATGTTTCATGCTAAATATCTTAGCTCTAGCTCTTTGGGTTCTTTAAAAGAAGATTTTTTAAGTTTTTACTATATGCATATAGGGAAAATCAATGACCCCCTGGGGCGGGGCCAATTTTGACCCCAGGGCTTTTATTTGAACAAACTTGGTAGACATCCACTAGAAGATGTTTCATGCCAAACATCTAAGCTCTAGCTCTTACGGTTCTTTAAAAGAAGATTTTTTAAGTTTTTACTATATGCATATAGGGAAAATCAATGACCCCCCGGGGCCGGGCCAATTTTGACCCCAGGGCTTTTATTTGAACAAACTTGGTAGACACTCACTAGAAGATGTTTCATGCCAAATATCTTAGCTCTAGCTCTTTGGGTTCTTTAAAAGAAGATTTTTTAAGTTTTTACTATATGCATATAGGGAAAATCAATGACCCCCTGGGGCGGGGCCAATTTTGACCCCAGGGCTTTTATTTGAACAAACTTGGTAGACACTCACTAGAAGATGTTTCATGCCAAAATATCTAAGCTCTAGCTCTTAGGGTTGTTTAAAAGAAGATATTTAAAGATTTTTCTTTCGGTTGCCATGGCAACCAGAGTTCTGCATGGAATTAAATTCTTTGAACAATTTTTAAAGGTGACCACCAAAGGAACATTCCTGTGAAGTTTGGATGAAATTGGCTCAGTGGTTTATGAGGAGATGTCATTTAAAGCAAAAGTTTACGGACGGACGCCGGACGGACGGACGCCGGACGAAAAGCGATCACAAAAGCTCACCCTGTCACTTTGTGACAGGTGAGCTAAAAATGAATGACTGAAATTTTGAAGTGTTTAATGAATGCAAACATTCAGTGTCTATGATGACGTCTTGATTTAATAAGTGTAAACAAGAACTGTCTAGGATGGCATCTTCAAATATTTAAGCACTTTAACAGTGCAGAAGCCATTATTTTCAAAGATTTAAGAATTCTTTATTCAATATTTTTATTTTTTTACTTGCATTTGGGAATTTTCTCCAGTGGATTAGGATAATAATTTACTATTTTCAATTGGGAATATGACCCAATATCTGCTAAAAAATAAGCCCAAAAAAATCCCTGCATCTATATAGTTTGACCAGGACTAACTGAAAATCTTAATCTTTATGGCAGCTGGAAAGGTCAATTTAAGAAATTCACAGCAGGCTTAAGGTAAAATTTGTCATAATTGTAATATACTCACTTTGATATCTAGTTCCACAAACATGGCTTTCTTTACAGCAGTATCTGATGTCAGGGTTTTTATTTCACTAACAGTTGTCATGGTAACAGGTGTAGCAGATGATGGGAAATCACAACCATTTTGTCTTGGTATATCACAGATATTCTGTAAAACAAGCAAGTTTATTTGCATTTTGCTCAATTAATTCAAAATAAAATTTAAACATGTGCTAATTTCTTATAATTAAAACTGCTTAGACTGTAAAAAAGGATGACAGTCATAAGCTCTGCCTTTATATGCCAATAACTTAGCAACTGATTTTCTATTAAAAGACAATGATAATATATCAAATTTGGAAAATCTGTTATACATGTATGATCTAATGGTAGTCAAAATTTTATAGCAAAGAGTTACAAAAACTATACAACAAAATTAGAATAAATTAACATTTTCAAGAACCCTGGAACAGTCATACAGATTTCTGACAAACACCTTGTTGATTAAACAACATTTTATTTTTTTTTTATTTCGATTGGGATTTAGATCACACCAAAACCATAGAGGTCATATGGTAACCTTTCCAGCTTTACTTGTGGAGGAAACCTTCAGGTGCCACTAGGTGCAGTATCTAAAGGACACACAGGCACCCTGAGTAGAACCACCAACATTCTGTAAGCTTGCTGGATAGCTACCTTACATGAAAAAGTTCAAAGTTCCTGGCAGGATTTAAACCCACAGCAGTGAGGGGCAAGTAGTTTAAAGTGAACAACCTTTACTACATGGCCACAGATGCCCTAACGTTTAAGCATTATAATAAGTTTATTCTTTACAACATTTTCAAAGTAGACCAAAATTTAACTTACTACACTTTGCTGCGGATGGAATTCAATCTTCAGAAAAGAAGGGGGAAGTAATGGAACTGTTAAAGTACTCTCTGACAATGGAGGTAAAGAAACTGCTACACCACATTTCTTTATTGAAGAGTCAGTACTTGTAGTGTGAGATGTTCCGTTTTCAGTTTTATGTACAATATTGATCTTGTTTGTACTAGAAGTTGTTTGTGTCACACATGAATTATTACAATCTGATTGGTTAATATCACATGACATCTGTGATGACTCAGCATTTTCCTCTTTCTTTCCATTTGTCAATATTGGAACAGTGCTATTTTTAGAAATATCAGACTGTGTAGACTTGTTCCCAGTTTCTATCACAGTGGAACCAGTCAATGTTGTATTATTGGTAGAGATAATGTGTGTATCAACAGTTATGTTTTCAGCATCACCACCTCCTAGTTCTGCTCCTGGTAGCTTTAGGAAACGTTTTAGAGCTGGCCACAGGCCGTCTATCCATGGCTCCACTGCCACCTCTAGTCTAAAACATAAAATGTTTCATGATTGAATCTTATTTTCAAAAAATAACTTATAATGTTAAAATAAACCATTCTTACACTGCAAAGTTGTAGAAAAATAAACATATATATGAGATGACAGGTTTAACAAATTTTTCAAACTTTTTGTTTATCTCTTAATCTAAATAACAATGGTAAGATTTCATATTTTAGTTACCAGTATTTTGTGTGTACCAATTTTTATAGCTGCTCTGAATGTTATTCTTCCTTTTTAAAGGTTATATCACTTATTATTATGTATTAAATTCTTCTTTGAATTTATTAAGATTTAACATTATATTTTTGTTACATAGTTACATTTTTTCTCTTTCTTACATCTATTTAATTCAGATAATATCGTTTTCTTATTTACTGATATTTTTGTTACAAAATTTAACGTTAACGTTTGGCGCGGCTTAACACGCCGCGTTATGTCATATTTTTATGTAAGCGGAAACGCAATGATCAAAACAAATTTAAAACGTTCATACAGTTTATAAGCATCACGACGATACATTTAAAACGCCGCAATAGTTGAGAATTAGAAACACACGACGCCAGTGTTAGTGAGAATGCGTTTATTAACGGGAAACGGGAAAATACAGAAAATTACAACAAACATCTAAATGTGAACTTAAAAAGTACTCTTAAATTTTCCACATTTCAGTTTTATAAATTCTTTATAAAACTGATGTGTCAGCTAGGTTATGAAAAGAGCTTTATTTTACCGATGTGTTTAAACCAAAACTAAACAAAAATTGATGATGTCAATATTTTTTACGTTGTGTACACATAAATTGACGTTGTTACCATGATATTATGTTTAAAAAGATTATAAGCTATAAAGATTTTTGACAGGTTTTGATGGCCCTATAGAAACAGTTGTTTGAATACATATCTGTTTATACATATAATCTGTTAAGAATCTTAATTTATAATACTGTAAACTTTCTTTATAAGAGAAAAAAATGAAATTCATTTATAAATCGACTGCAGTCCTGTATATAGATTATATAAACATTATGATTATCCAATTAAAAACAATGTTACAAACATGCAGTATAATATATATTACTGCACGTCTATATACAACATAAAATATTACCCGACAGCATCATCAGCCCAGCCAGACTCGTAGAATCGTTTAGCTCCAAGATCTTGTAATCTTTTATCCAGTGATTTACCACAATTACAGAAATTTGTGTAGTTTGAATCACCAAGACCTGTTGTTTAAGAAAAAGGGACATGTTTATGTTTAAGCATTGTAGAACTTAAAACAGGAAATGTAACTCAACAACCATCATGACCTTATTATTACTCATGTGAGTAAGGAATGTCACTTATTATCATCTAATAATAATATACTGTAAGCAAAACAGTGTTAAAAAGTAGAATAATGTTTCTTTTTATTTATACAATTAATCTACATGTACATTTTTTAAAATGAATACCCATCCAAATTTTAACTGGACTTGATTTGGTAGTCTCTAGAACTTTTAAATCAAACTTTGAAACTAAACAATACCAGTAAGTTTAATGTAGTGACTACCAAAAGTTTGTCATTTATTGTGATAATAAAACATTCTCTCCAGGTTTTTTCCTTAGAAATTAACAAGATAAGTTACTTTGCTTAAGGTTCCGTAAAAATTTAATATCTCTATAAGTATTATTTTTATCAGCTTTTTTTTCTTTGACTTAATTCGTTTTTGATACCTCAGAATTGATGACTTATGTTTAAATGTGTCCAAGATATCACTAAAATAAATATTTTAACAAATTTGATGAATATACAATTAAAGATTGCAATGTGACTTGACCTTGTAAAACTTATCAGAGTATTTAACATAAATATATTCAATTTGAAGGAAAAATAATGTGAGTTAAATACATGTTTTATAACTAAGTCAATGTGTAGATGTAACAGGTTAAAGTTAGTTAAATATTATAACTAACCTAAGAGGGCATAGTGTAGATGTGACAGGTTATGTTAGTTAAATATTGTAGCTAACCTAAGAGGGCATAGTGTAAAGTGACAGGTATTGTTAGTTAAATATTATAACTAACCTAAGAGGGCATAGTGTAGATGTGACATGTAATGTTAGTTAAATATTATAACTAACCTAAGAGGGCATAGTGTATATGTGAAAGGTAATGTTAGTTAAATATTATAACTAACCTAAGAGGGCATAGTGTAGATGTGACAGGTAATGTTAGTTAAATATTATAACTAACCTAAGAGGGCATAGTGTATATGTGAAAGGTAATGTTAGTTAAATATTATAACTAACCTAAGAGGGCATAGTGTAGATGTGACAGGTAATGTTAGTTAAATATTGTAACTAACCTAAGAGGGCATAGTGTAGATGTGACATGTAATGTTAGTTAAATATTGTAGCTAACCTAAGAGGGCATAATGTAGATGTGACATGTAATGTTAGTTAAATATTGTAGCTAACCTAAGAGGGCATATTGTAGATGTGACAGGTAATGTTAGTTAAATATTGTAACTAACTTAAGAGGGCATAGTGTAGATGTGACGGGTAATGTTAGTTAAATATTGTAACTAACCTAAGAGGGCATAGTGTAGATGCGACAGGTAATTAGTTAAATATTGTAACTAACCTAAGAGGGCATATTGAAGATGTGACAGGTAATGTTAGTTAAATATAATAACTAACCTAAGAGGGCATAGTGTAGATGTGACAGGTAATATTAGTTAAATATTGTAACTAACCTAAGAGGGCATAGTGTAGATGTGACAGGTAATGTTAGTTAAATATTGAAACTGACCTAAGAGGGCATAGTGTAGATGTGACAGGTAATATTAGTTAAATATTATAACTAACCTAAGAGGGCATAGTGTATATGTGAAAGGTAATGTTAGTTAAATATTATAACTAACCTAAGAGGGCATATTGAAGATGTGACAGGTAATGTTAGTTAAATATAATAACTAACCTAAGAGGGCATAGTGTAGATGTGACGGGTAATGTTAGTTAAATATTGTAACTAACCTAAGAGGGCATAGTGTAGATGCGACAGGTAATTAGTTAAATATTGTAACTAACCTAAGAGGGCATAGCGTAGATGTGACAGGAAATGTTAGTTAAATATAATAACTAACCTAAGAGGGAATAGTGTATATGTGACAGGTAATATTAGTTAAATATTGAAACTGACCTAAGAGGGCATAGTGTAGATGTGACAGGTAATATTAGTTAAATATTGTAACTAACCTAAGAGGGCATAGTGTAGATGTGACAGGTAATTTAGTTAAATATTGTATAAACTAACCTAAGAGGGCATATTGAAGATGTGACAGGTAATGTTAGTTAAATATAATAACTAACCTAAGAGGGCATAGTGTATATGTGACAGGTAATTAGTTAAATATTGTAACTAACCTAAGAGGGCATAGTGTATATGTGACAGGTAATTAGTTAAATATTATAACTAACCTAAGAGGGCATATTGTAGATGCGACAGGTAATTAGTTAAATATTGTAACTAACCTAAGAGGGCATAGTGTAGATGTGACAGGTGATCATCTGGTAACATTTTCTTCAGACGTCTAACAAATTTGAGAGCAGTATCAGGAGGTTCACCATCTCCTGTCGTAGAAGTTACTATGACAACACACTTCTCTCTCTCCAGAAAAAACTGAAACATATGACATCAATAGGTTCATTAAAATACATTACCTTTCTATAATAATATAAAAGAAAAACAAAAGATACAAGTAAGCATCTTAGAATGCAGTTTCTTACAAAATTATATACCTGGGATGTGATTTTAATAAGATAAGACACAACGCTTAGAACTGTCATTGACAGAAACAATATTGTTGTATCGTCAATTATGTTTTGTCAATCAAAAACCATTACATATTTGGAAAAAACAATAACTTTGACTAAGTAATTATATATCTAGAAATTAAGAAAATTCACCTAAAGCAGAAGTCCATGTTTTAAACTATGCTGTACATGAAAGATGTACATGTATTTCATAGCAGTGTTGAGAAAAAAAACTTATGCTGTTGGAATTTGTAAATAAGACACATCATAATAGTATGACAGAATAAATATGTTTGTTTTTTTACTGAAACCATTTAAACAGGTTTCAAAGTGAATTATAGATTAGTAATTATATGTATTTATTGAAACACCAGCATATCATCAATATTTGTTATATCTGGAATAGTAATATTGACCCAATATGCTTTGCACTGAATCAATGACAGCTCTATTATAACTAAAGATGATGGATTGTCCCTAAACATGCACATTTAACAATTATATAAATGACCATCAATATGTAAAAATTCAAGAAAATTTAATTTTTGTTTAGAAAATCGAAGTGTAGTATCTAATACAGGTGGGAACACTGTATTTTACCATCAGTTTCAAGTGGGAACACTGTAGTCTACCTGTAGTTAGTTTGGTTTAAAAATATTTGATTTAAGTTTGCGAAACAAGTTCTTGCAACTTGTCTTAATATTTATCACTTTCAAGTTTCAACATACAAGTGGGAAACAGTTGTTTACAGTTAGTTTCAGAAACTAGTGTGGACACTGTATTTTACCATTTGTTTCAGACACTCATAGGGACACTGCATTTTACCATTAGAGGGAACACTGTGAAATGTAATATTAAGCATAAACTTCTCACCCTTTTCTCTGTCAGACTAAGACAATGTATATCTGCACATAAATTTTGGTCCCTGGCTTTCTCTGCAATTTCTTCAGATATTGCCTTTGCCTGACCTGTCTGGGAACCATACAAGAGTAGGAACCGATTAGCTACTGATGTTGGCATTATGATTTATATATCTGAAATAGCAAAATAATAATTAATCACTTACATTCCTTATATCTACATATGTCCAGCATTTCCATTTAATTACAGTGATTTTCCTGCTTATATAACAGACTCCGAAAAAGGGCCTTTTCCCAATTGAAATTTTTTTTTAAAATCATGCAGTTTTCCCAAAAACCAGAACTTAAACGTGCTTTTTTCTTCCCAAATTGGCAATTTTAGCGATAATTTTTCCCAAAATCAAGAGGCTAAGGCCTCTTCCCAATTAAGTGAGAAAAATCACTGAATTACTTTTAAGGTAATTAAGATTAAGAGGTTAAAATATTCCTACCCAATCAAAGACAAACAAAAATGTGTTTCATAAACACATATGTCCCCAGCCCAGGTTCTTGTCAGTAACAAATTTTCAAACTGTCAAACCTTTACAAATGACAGTTTATTTGGCATACTGGTTGGGGACCACCAAAACCGGACAACCACCAAACCCAGACTCCCCTGAAAATGCTTAATTTAGTATTTTCCATGTTCAGAGGTTGTCAGTCTTTTTTTAATCAACAATAAATGCATGACGTTTCTTCTATAATTTAGTAAATAAATTTATTTCAACCTCCGTAATGGTGATATTTTAATGTCTATTTCAAGAATGCTGACTTTGAAATTTGGGCGTCAAGAAAGCAATGCCTGATCTCGTTTACCAGCTTTTATCATTTGCAGTGTAAACAATAGACTATCAAAAACTTCAGCATTTGTTGCTGAAATAATGTGTATCATGTTAAAAATCAAAAATTAAAACACCCAATCTTTTATCTGAATTAAATCACGCCATGTATGCATACATATCTGTCAGACACATGGTACTGTAGGTAATTTTGACGGTACAAGTCAACCCGGCCCTAAGTCAACCCGGCCGCAAGTCAGCCCTGCCCCAAATTGGTCAACCCGGCCCCAAACCAATGTTATTTCTGGTCAACCCGGCCCAATTTTTTATTATTTATTTCGCTTTAAAATATAAACACTTATCAAGAAATAAAATAAAAATTAACAACAAAAGTTTAACGCTGATATCTTTTATTATTTATTTTATATAAAAACTATCAATATTAACAAACAAGCAACACATGCATAGTTTACTGTTTTTAATTACCGTCGCAAAAAATAAAAGAAATGACCAAAAGCATACTAAAGTGTTTCCATGAACAGTTTTTAAGTAAGATTAATTATAGAGATGCTTCCATCTACATGTATCACAGGTATCGCAGGTCACTGCCTCCTGTCTGTCACGCACAATATACTGTATCCACAATCAATACAGTTATCAGTCATAATGACAAAAAGTGATTAAACACAAAACACTATCAATTTTTCAAACACTTAGTAATATTCCAATACTTTATACACAGTAAATAATTGCGTATTAAACTGTTAAAGTCTTAACCCTTTACCACATATATACGCGAAACAACGCACTTTCGACCCCCCCCCCCTTTTTAAGGCCTCAAATAGTGAAAAAATGTCCTATTTGGACCCCAAACATAAGTTTTCGTTTGAGAAATGTTGCTTAAAAAAGTGAGCACTTTTTCGGCGCCGCCCCCTATCCAAAAGATACATCAGGGGGTTGCCAGAAGGGGGATGTGCCCCCTTCTGTTAGGGGGGGTTTGAAGGGGGGCGGAGTCCCCCTCATCGCCAACAAATTTTGGACTTGTGAGAGGGTAAAAATGACCCCAGGCCGATCATAATGTAACGTTAAACCAACGCTGAAAAGCCTTTGACTCTATCTCAATCCCTTGAACAGTTGCAGCACTTTGAAATAAATTTTGATGGAAAAAATCGAGGCAAAATAGTGATTTTTGGCAATTTTGAGATGTCCCCTCGTTGCCATGGTAACAGGAAATTAAAGACTGAGCATGTAGTTACAAAGGCAATGGTCCAGTCAACATTTGTGCCAAGTTTGATTAGTATTGAAGCATTTTTCATAGTTACATAGCAGTTTGAACTTGTAACAGGAGGCTTTTCAGTGAAAACGGCCATTTTTCACAATATGCTCATGGGGGAAAGGGTTAATTGGCACAATTAAATTTACTGACACTTTTATGCCAGTTCATGTTTTTTTTTACTATTGTTCTATAGTTAATAATATTCAATTAATAATAAATCATTTTTATTCCATCATACAACAAAATGACCTGAATAGTTATCTTTAAAAATATATATTTTTGGGCCGCACTGACCAATTTTGGGGCCGCATTGACCAAATTAAAATACTGTGGGGCCGGGTTGACCAATTTTGGGGCCGGGTTGACCAATTTTGAGGCTGGGTTGACTTGGGGCCGGGTTAACTTGGGGACGGTTTGACTGTAATTCAATTTTGATACCCTCCTTGAAGAGCCTCGGGTGTCAATGCAATCAGAAATAAACAAACTAGTTTGTTAGTTAGGCGAAGAAGCTAGCTGTTCTGTGTCAAATGTTTAGGTCTCTGTGTTGAAATTATGAAATCTGTATGAAACTAGAAATGTGTCATCATGCCACGGATGCCCCCGCATGCAGCCAAAATTTCAGATGTTATAATATTTAGTTCCAAATTTGTTTGCACAAATTATTTTTTTCATTTGCAGTTCAAAGCCCTTAAAACTTTTCAATGTTAACACAAACCATTTTCATACAATGTTCAAAGCACTGAAATTATTCAATCTTAACCTTTTGAAAATAGCATATTTCATATTTGTAGCCAAAATAATGGCTACATACATTTCCACAAAAGTATGAGTGCTGAAACTGAAAGTTCAAAATTTTTCCAACATTCAAGAAAGATAAGTTTGTCCAAAATCATTGAACCACGACCAAATTCAAACTTTCCACAAAAGTATGAGTGCTGAAACTGAAAGTTCAAAATTTTTCCAACATTCAAGAAAGATAAGTTTGTCCAAAATCATTGAACCACGACCAAATTCAAACTTTCCACAAAAGTATGAGTGCTGAAACTGAAAGTTCAAAATTTTTCCAACATTCAAGAAAGATAAGTTTGTCCAAAATCATTGAACCACGACCAAATTCAAACTTAAACTGCTTATTCCTAAGATGTATCTATATTATTTTCAAAGTGAAAGGGACATAACTCTGCCAAAAAATCATCAAACCATGACCAAATTCCAACTTGACCTGCCCATTCCTTTGACATATCCATATGTCAAATTTGAGTTGAATATGTAACACTGTTGGGTAGATAATGAACAGAAACTGTAAATTTCATATAATTTTCAAAGTAAAAGGGGCATTACTCTGCCAAAAATCATTGAACCATGACCAAATTCGGACTTGGCCTGGGCATTCCAAAAACATATCCATATGTCTAATTTGAGTTGAATGTGTTGTACTGTTGGGGAGATAATAAACAGAAACTGAAAATTTCATATTATTTTCAAAGTGAAAGGGGCATAACTCTGCCAAAAATCATTGAACCAAGACCAAATTTGAACTTGACCTGCGCATTCCTTTGATGTATCCATATGTCAAGTTTGAGTTGAATGTGTTGTACCGTTGGGGAGATAATGAATGGAAACTGAAAATTTCATATTATTTTCAAAGTGAAAGGGGCATAACTCTGCCAAAAATCATCGAACCATGACCAAATTCGAACTTGACCTGTATTTTCTCAAGACATTTCCATATGTCAAATTTAAGTTGAATGTGTTGTACCTTTGGGGAGATAATGAACGGAAACTGAAAATTTCATATTATTTTCAAAGTAAAAGGGGCATAACTCTGCCAAAAATCATCGAACCATGACCAAATTTGAACTTGACCTGTATTTTCTCATGACATATCCATATGTCAAGTTTGAGTTGAATGTGTTGTATTGTTGGGGAGATAATGAACGGAAACTGAAAATTTCATATTATTTTAAAGTAAAAGGGGCATATCTCTGCCAAAAATCATCGAACCATGACCAAATTCGAACTTGACCTGTATTTTCTCATGACATATCCATATTTCAAATTTGAGTTGAATGTGTGCAACCGTTACTAAGATAATGAACGGAAACTGATGATGACGGAATGACAGAATGACGGAATGACGGAACAGGGTAACACTATATGCCCCGGCCATTACATGGCGGGGGCATAAAAATGTTCAAAATGTGTCTGGTTGATGGTCCCCAACCTATACAGTAACATTGAACAACAAAAGGATTTATAAGAAAGTTTATTAAAATGGTCAAACAATTAATTAGGCTAGTCAGATATTTACAATCAGAGAATCTTTTTAAAATATAAAATAAATTTGTTGTTATTGACGGCTAATGTGGGTTTTCAGTTATGCAACTAACTTAAAGGGAGGTAAAAATGTAAACAAACAAATCTTCAAAGCTGAACTGAAGGGAGATAACAAGCTAGTTTTACGATTAATTTATTGGCTTATGAAACTAAACATAATTTGCTGATGGTAGTTATTTCTCAGTAAGATAAAAAAAATTCGTGATTTTTTTTCTTTTTCTTTTGTTTTTAATATAACACAATATTTCTTTCTAACCTTCCCTCACGACATCCAGCAGGAAAATGAAGCAACTAAATGCAACCGGAAACAAGAATCATAGAATTATATTAAAAATTTAATCAAACGAAAACATTTTGTAATAATGTATCAAAATTAGATATATTTTATAAATATTTAGATAATTTCAGCAATTTTAGTAATATTTTTATCAGTTTATATTTTATCTTACATTAAGTAACAAATAATTTTGTAGTAATAAAACAAATTCCAAAACAATATAAAATTATTTCGTTTAAAAGGAGATAATTCGTATTATAAATAATAAAATGGAATCAAACTGTCAACAATTATTTTCCAAGTTTTCTTTTACTCGTTTAAAATAAATTTCAGTCAGATATTCTTCTTAAATTTGTAATAAAATGAGAAATGGCTGAAGAAGAGCTAGAAGAACTTCAAAAATTTCACGATGCAGTGAGGGAAATTATTGTAAGTTTTCATAAATTTAAAAATATCAGCCAATAAAATGAATAAAGCTAAAGATATTTTTGCAACGGGTACATTTTAAGAAGTTTAATCAAGGCTTGTTTCACTAGATATAGCAGGCCTTATAAAGTCAGCCTCACTTGTAAATGATTTAGAAATGCTAGTTTTAAGTTTATATCCTGATAGTCAGACCTATTGCGTCACGGACATGCTTCACTCGGCTTACAGACACTTCACCCCCCAGACACTTCACCCTAGGCCCTTTTTTGCAGACACTTCACCCCTCAGACAGTTCACCCCTCATTTTAAGAAATTTGATTGAGACACTTCACCCCTCATTTTTTTAATTTTGTGTTAAACAATTATTTATGTAGATTATGTTAAATACATTCAATAGTGATTGACTATGTTTATTGTTTTAAGCCATTGTCTAATAAATTTTGAGTTGATTTAATTCTTGAAGTTTTGGTACTGAATTAAGTTTGATTTCAGTTTGATCCTTACCATATAATAATAATTGAGTTACGTTCATTTGGTGATGGTTTGTGCTTTAACCTTGTGCTTAATTTACATAACTGGTGCTATTTATTTGTTTAATAAATGACATTATGAATGATCTTTGCATTAAATGCAGGATAATTGTGTCTGATAATGATGATAAATAATTTATATTTATATTTACAATATTTTATAAAGCAACTGATTCATTCATATTCATTTATATTCATTTTATTTATTTATTTATTTATTTATTTATTTAATTTATTTATTAAGAATAAATTTAATTTTCATACAATTATACCATTTTAATTCAATTATCTAATCAATTGTGAGATAACCGTTGAATAAACAACTAATCAACATGTGGAATAAACAAGGTGACATGCAATTAACACTTAATGGATGAAAGTGCTGTGATATATCATTTGGCAATACAACCAATTAACCTAAATCAGCTTTAAACTTAGTAAAAATAAAGGTAATATGCAAAATTTTTAATCAAATAATGCTAAAAATAATAAATATAAACATATATAAGCATTTTGTTGTTGACCAACTTGTTTTATTTACTTTATAGAACAAAATTGGATGAGGGGTGAAGTGTCTTACTGATTTTGGGGGGTGAAGTGTCTTAAGGGGCGAAGTGTCTTCAAAATTTGAGGGGTGAAGAGTCTGGGGGGTGAGGTGTCTTGCTACCCTTCACTCCAGTGATTTTTTTTCAATTTTCAAAACAACATGTGGATTTCTGAAGGGGAATATAGCATGATAAGTAAGGAAAGGGGAAATCAAATTCTAACAACTAAGATTGTTTTACCTACACATATTTTAGAGCCAGACTCATAATGCTCTACAAAGTCATCAACAACAAGGTCCCTCTCGACAACTCGCAACTCATACCCTCAAACTCCACATCTACAAGAAATTCACACAACCTATCCTTAAAAAATCCCTACTGCCGTACACATTACCGTCATCAATCCTTCTTCCCACGCACCATCAAAGACTGGAACAACCTACCTCCGGATGCTACGTCAGCCGGTACAGTTGAGTCATTCCATACTCATCTGTCCCAACTCTATATCTAAACCACACTCTTGTCCGTTTTTAACCTGCACTGTATATATTCCTCACTATTTTTACTCTTTCTTTCCGTCTTGCGCATTAACTTGGCAGTAAACTTCAGTTAGTTGAAGGTGGCCAGTATATTGGAAGAAGAAGAAGAATATTCAATATCAATGCAATTTAATATCCATGGTACATAGCAGCTCTAGGCTATCTGTAGGGACAGCGTTCTGTCTGCAAGCTGATACAAGTCAGCTGCTGTTAAGTCATGACTCTAGTGTCAGAAGAATGTGTACAGGGATTTTTAATGGAAAATAATAGCATTTTAAGGGGAAATTATACCTATTTTAGTATTTAGGGCTAGCAGAAACAGCCTTTATTCGGCTGTAAAATACACTCACGAACATCACATACCCATGACCATCAAATGTGTCTTAGGATATTCACAATCACAGCAATTTCAAACTAATATGAAATTATGCTAAGCATATGAACAGGGAGGTCAAATATAAAAAAATTCATTCGGTGTTTTATGCACTGCGGAACATCTTGGCGATTTATATTCTTACCTTATTGTTAAGACAAAAAGTTGCATCTGGTCTATTTTATCGGAATACCCCGCCATTTATCATTGTGATACTTTAAAAATGGCGGTGCTCAACATGAAGTAATACTGAAAATTTCACTGATACAGATAGGGCCTATAGAAATCTATATATCCCCATCGCCATCCCCTCTATTCAGTATACTACAGCTGGTCTCCAGTAAAAGACAAAGTAGAGGTATATTACATTATTAGACTAGACTTGTGTGTAATGTAGTACTTTATCATTGATTATGCATCACCAAGAACCCTGATTCAAGTAGTTTCCTCCCACTAAGCTGAAATTCTTTTGATGAATGCTTGTGTTTCTCAACCATGTACACATGCTGAGGGGAAGAGAGAGGCCAGTTAAGCCTTTTAATTATCCCCTTTGCTTGTTATTATGAGGTCATATGAAGGCAAAGACAAGATCACAAGTGGCACTGCAAAATGTTTTCTGGTTAATTACATGAAAAAAATGGGTAAGCTTGTTTAACTTTGTAGGGATATGTCCATGGCCAGTATATGATCCTTATTAATATTTAGGTCAATGTCAAAGGACTTCACAGTTAATGTGAGTCCCTTGTCTAATCAATTGCTAAGAGTTTCTTTAGTCAAAGCCACCAAGATTTTTGAAAATTATTACTTATAATACTACATTGTATTTTTGTATAAACTTCATAGGAAATATTCTATATTTATAACATTTCACCTTCATGTAATATGCATAAGTATGTAAATTATGCCAGTCTGAAAGGCTAATGAATTAGGGACATATTAAGTATCCTGTAGAGACATTTTCGGTTTAAATTAAGATCCACTTCACTTATGTTTATACTCTTTTATTTTTTTCTTTCCAGATCTCCCTGCTTTTGTTCATTTTGCTGTATGTGAGCTCTTACAGTGTTATATCGTGGTTTAAGAAGAGGACAGATACAGAGGAATATGTCACCGGTGATGATGACGCCTTTGTGTACCGAATAGCCCTATGGCTGTGTACATTTACTTTAGCAGTGTCGGCAGGAGCTGTCTTATTGTTGCCAATATCCATCGTCAGTAATGAAGTATTACTACTCCATCCTCATAGCTATTATGTCAAGTGGTTAAACAGTTCTCTGATACATGGTAAGTTGACATATATTTAAAACTTTTATATCATTTAATCTCACATGATAATCTGTATTATATCAAATGGTTGAACAACCGTCTTATACACAATAAATTAACCTGTTTTATATCAATTGGTTTCAAGTGTATATAAAAGCTAAATCTATAAACAAATAAACAATAATATAATGTTGTTTCCATATTTATATCGATTTATTCAGGGAATGTACATAAACTCAATATTGTCGCATATATCATCATGCATATATAAAATACCCAAAAAGATGCAATAAAAATAATTTTAAGATTTATTTAGGTTTGTTGGTTTTATGTTACCCTAGGATTGCCCATAAAGCTAAAAGCTTATTTCCAATATATGGTCAATTCTTTGAAACAGTTGTAACATAGAATGTCTCTGCTATATAACACACATGGATAATGCACATAAATATCATAGTTTGGGGACCTTTCCTTTGAAAACGTCTCCGAGTTAAATCGTATACATATACATGCACTGTGCGTTAACTGGAGTGCAGGTATTAGTTACCCGCACTCCAGAGCATGTGCATTGATTGGCTCATTTTTGCTGGGGTGTACTTATTGTGACGGCAGAGAAAGGGAAAGCGACAGAAATGTCATATTTAGATGCTCATTCATTGGTTACTTTTCTCTGGGGTTTACTTATTTTGACAACAGGGAATGTGTTTTTATGTTTGACTATGATACAAAAGAGAAAGAACATCAAAACACTTGGCAATCTGATAATACTTTTACGCCCCCTCGTATAAATCAGATAGCCTCGTGTTTCGATGCTCTTTCTATTACTTAACTTGTAGGCATTTACATAAATCATTTACAATATATTTGAATGTATATAACATTGTTTAATATTGTAAGGATAAAACATAGATCATGTTTATAATTGTCCAATAGGCCAGAGAAATATATTAATCTCATGGGTCTTAAAGAATTGGTAAAATACAAGGTTGATGCTACATGTATGTTAGAATATATATATGTACCAAGGAATATATTAAATACATATCAGTCAATAGAAATTACATCAACTTGAACAATTCGCTTGTTACTTCTTGAAAAATTGCTTGTTACTTCCTGTTACATAAGTGCAGTGCTTTTTGCTCCTAGTTACTTCTAGTAACAATGTAGGCAAAATTGTAAGACAAGAGTGATTAACCAACAATTTAAGCAGCTTTAGCCTTAATTGTAGTTATTGCTTGATATTTCATTGTTAGATCTTTATGTTATGCAATTTTTGTGACCTTTTATAAAACAGTAAATTTGTTGTTCTTGTAATGTGTTTAAACACTGTATATAAACTTTATATACTTGAAGGGTTATGTAACTTTCAAGTTGATAAAGAAATTATTCATTTTTTCAGGTCTGTGGAACTATGTTTTCTTGTTTTCAAATCTTGCCCTGTTTTTAATGATGCCATTTGCATATTTCTTCACGGAATCAGAGGGATTCTCAGGCTCTAGAAACGTATGTACTTCTTTCTCTTGTGCTGTAATTTACAGTGTGTTGTTTAGATACATGTTCATTATGTATATGGGTTAATTTACTATGTTACTGAATATTTAATAACTTTAAAATGATATTTGTATGAGGTACTAGCTTTATTAACTTTAAAGTGATATTTGTATGAGGGACTAGCTTTAATAACTTTAAAGTGATATTTGTGTGAGGGACTAGCTTTAATAACTTTAAAGTGATATTTGTGTGAGGAACTAGATTTAATAACTTTAAAATGATATTTGTATGAGGTACTAGCTTTAATAACTTTAAAGTGATATTTGTATGAGGTACTAGCTTTAATAACTTTAAAATGATATTTGTATGAGGAACTAGCTTTAATAACTTTAAAGTGATATTTGTGTGAGGAACTAGCTTTAATAACTTTAAAATTATATTTGTATGAGGGACTAGCTTTAATAACTTTAAAATGATATTTGTATGAGGGACTAGCTTTAATAACTTTAAAGTGATATTTGTGTGAGGGACTAGCTTTAATAAATTTAAAGTGATATTTGTGTGAGGAACTAGCTTTAATAACTTTAAAATGATATTTGTATGAGGTACTAGCTTTAATAACTTTAAAATGATATTTGTATGAGGGACTAGCTTTAATAACTTTAAAGTGATATTTGTGTGAGGGACTAGCTTTAATAACTTTAAAATTATATTTGTATGAGGGACTTGCTTTAATAACTTTAGAGTAATATTTGCGTGAGGGACTAGCTTCCAGGAGATCTATGGTTCAACTTGGAAGTTTGCCTGTGCATAAAATCAATTCAATAATTCACAGATGACCACTCAAGGTCATTGCACTCAAGGTCATCTTCCTCTAGCTAAACTTGGAAAGTCACTATAGAGTCTGTACTTAGCTAGTGATACTTTAATACCAACAAAAGTCATAATGATGATTTCATACATATATCACTAGATTTCCATTTTGTTTATTTTTACTCACTTGTTGTATAGCATAAAGATGGTATTTTTCTAGCCAGGTTCATGAATAGAAAACATTTATAAATAAAAACTTGAACTGTGTATCTACCAGCCAAATGCAGAATTGATAATTTTTCATTTCATTTTTTAGTTCGACTTTTTTTTTTTTGGAAAAAAAGTAGAGGTATTGTTATAGTCAAGTCGCCGTTGTCGATGCCGTTCCCGTTCCCGTCCGCAAACTTGTACCTGGATCATAACTTTTTTATTTCTTGGTGTATTGTCTTCATACTTGGCCACAACAACCCTTGGGACAAGACCTTTCAGTAGACCACACTAACCTTGACCTTCATCCATAAATGACCTTGACATTCAAGGTTAAAAGTCCAATTTTTGCTTGTTTATGCTGTTATTGGCTGTAACTTTGTTATTTTTGAATGGATTGTCTTCAAACTTGAACATAATAATCTTCAAGGATATCCCTTAAAAATAGCCAGCCAGACCTTGACCTTCACTCATAAATGACCTTGACTTTGAAGGGCAAATTATTGAAATTTTCATTTTTTTGGCTATTATTGGCTGTTACTTTGTTATTTTTGAATGGATTGTCTTCAAACTTGAACATAATTATCTTCAGGGATATCCCTTAAAAATAACTAGACAGACCTTGACCTTGACTTTGAAGGTCAAATTATTGAAATTTTCATTGTTTTGGCGGTAACTGTTTCTATTTATAGAATTGCGTCATGTTTCTATTTATAGAAATTGTGTCATGTTTCTATTTATAGAAATTGCATCATGTTTCTTTTTATAGAAATTGCGTCATGTTTCTATTTATAGAAATTGCGTCAATTGCGTCATGTTTCTATTGATAGAAATTGCGTCATGTTTCTATTGATGGAAATTGTGTAATGTTTCTATTGATAGAAATTGCGTCATGTTTCTATTGATAGAAATTGCGTCATGTTTCTATTGATAGAAATTGCGTCATGTTTTTATTTATAGAAATTGCATCAATTACGTCATGTTTCTATTTATAGAATTGCGTCATGTTTCTATTTATAGAAATTGTGTCATGTTTCTATTTATAGAATTGCGTCATGTTTCTATTTATAGAATTGCGTCATGTTTCTATATATAGAATTGCGTCATGTTTCTATTTATAGAAATTGCGTCATGTTTCTATTTATAGAAATTGCGTCATGTTTCTATTTATAGAAATTGCGTCATGTTTCTATTCATAGAAATTGCGTCATGTTTCTATTTATAGAAATTGCGTCATGATTCTTTTTATAGAAATTGCGTCATGTTTCTATTCATAGAAATTGCATCATGTTTCTATTCATAGAAATTGCTCCATGTTTCTATTTATAGAAATTGCGTCATGTTTCTATTTTTAGAAATTGTGTCATGTTTCTCTTTTTAGAAATTGCATCATGTTTCTATTCATATATATATACAAAATAGATAAACAAAGCTAATGTGACAAGACAGACCAACTAAATTTATAAAAAGGAAACGTTAAGATATGTTCAAACCTTTCTATGTTTGCGTTTAGAAAAAGTAAAAAGTCAAGCGTTGCCCCCACTTGCCTGGCGGTGGCTCTTGTTATGTATTTTTCATACATTTTCATACTGTACAAATGTCATTTGATATCACAAAACTAAAAATAGTTTTCCGTGATTTTTATACCTTTTACTGTTGGTCTGGACCAATTACTTGTCTGCAAAATTTCAGACTGTTAGCTCACTTCATTTTCCAGAATAATCATTTTAATTGTGCAAGATGACACCAAAAATGAAAATCACTGAAAACCTTATAACTCTGTTTGGGCTAAAAATAACACAAAACATCAATTTTAAATTCAGTTTTGATATATTTCTAGAGATATTGTCTGTTACACATTTGTCCATTTTAAGTGTCCCAGTTGATCTTGAAAAGAATTTCAAATTTTACATTCAATGCTTTTAACCCCCAGTGGAGCTCTTCAAACAGAAGTCCCAATAAGAACTTTTTATTTTTATATCATATTTTTCATCATATGATATTATATTATGTATTATACATGTATATTTGAACATATATATTCAGGGAATCATGGCAAGAATCAAAGAAACCACTGTAATGTTAGCTTTACTAGCTGTATCGGTGATTGGTGTGTCCTGGGTGTTGATAGCTTTGTTTGATAGCGATACTCACAGTCATGATACTCTGTCAGGTAAATTATCATGGTGTTTTACATCTGAGCCGCGTCATGACAAAACCAACGTAATGCGTTTGCGACCAGCATGGATCCAGACCAGCCTGCACATTCGCGCAGTCTGATCAGGATCCATGCTGTTCGCTTACAAACCCTATAACAAGTAGAGTAACTGATTGCGAACAGCAGGGATCCTGATCAGACTATGCAGATGCGCAGGCTGGTTTGGATCCATCCTGGTCGCAAATGCACTATGTTGGTTTTGTCATGACGAGGCTCATATCTGTTTTATCAAGGAAATTATAACAGTGTTCATAGTCGTGTGTTAACTTCAATAACTTATTTGGCCTCAGATTTTATAATAACTTAAAATTTTGATAAACATTGCAAGAAAAAAAGCAGGTTAATACTAATACTCTCGTATTTATACATGTATTACTTTTGTCTTAAAATCTTGTTTAAAGATATGCCTATCCTTGTTCAGATAATGAACCCTAGGCACAGTAACAGCACACTAGCTTGGTTTAAACAGTCACTGTAAGATTTTGTTGGAATCTGTCTAAATATTACAGCAGATGACTACAAGGGGGAACAAACATGTGATCATAGTGATTGTGTAGATAGATTTATGTTTATCATGTTTTGATATGTTTTGTTTTGTTAAATATAGATTACAGATATCTGAATATCTTCATGTACTTATAATATCTGTACTCAAATTAAAAGTTATTATACAGATATCTGGAATATCTGCTTGCAGCAACCGTTCTTACGTTAACTTAATGTTATAGATATCTGGAATATCTACTTGCAGCACCTGTTCTTATGTTAACTTTACATTACAGATATCTGGAATATCTACTTGCAGCACCTGTTCTTATGTTAACTTTACATTACAGATATCTGGAATATCTACTTGCAGCACCTGTTCTTATGTTAACTTTATGTTACAGATATCTGGAATATCTATTTGCCATACTTATACTGTACTCATGTTAACTTTATGTTACAGATATCTGGAATATCTATTTGCCATACTTATACTGTACACATGTTAACTTTATGTTACAGATATTTGGAATATCTACTTGCCATATTTGTACTCTTGTATATCATTCCTTGGTGTTCTACTATTATTGTGTAAGTTGACTCAATTTTTTTGTTTACTTTTGTACAAAATATACCCTGACCACTACCTTCATTAAGCTTCTTAATTGGTCGTGGACGTCAACATTTGATTATGATCTAGCTAACTGAATTCTGTAAATTTTCATTACGTTTTCAATTTATTTTTAGCTCACCTGTCACAAAGTGACAGGGTGAGCTTTTGTTATCGCTTTTCGTCCGGCGTCCGTCCGTCCGGCGTCCGTCCGTCCGTCAACTTTTGCTTTAAATGACATCTCCTCATAAACCACTGAGCCAATTTCATCCAAACTTCACAGGAATGTTCCTTTGGTGGTCACCTTTAAAAATTGTTCAAAGAATTTAATTCCATGCAGAACTCTGGTTGCCATGGCAACCGAAAGAAAAATCTTTAAATATCTTCTTTTAAACAACCCTAAGAGCTAGAGCTTAGATATTTGGCATGAAACATCTTCTAGTGAGTGTCTACCAAGTTTGTTCAAATAAAAGCCCTGGGGTCAAAATTGGCCCCGCCCCAGGGGGTCATTGATTTTCCCTATATGCATATAGTAAAAACTTAAAAAATCTTCTTTTAAAGAACCCAAAGAGCTAGAGCTAAGATATTTGGCATGAAACATCTTCTAATGAGTGTCTACCAAGTTTGTTCAAATAAAAGCCCTGGGGTCAAAATTAGCCCCGCCCCGGGAGTCATTGATTTTCCCTATATGCATATAGTAAAAACTTTAAAAAATCTTCTTTTAAAGAACCCAAAGAGCTAGAGCTAAGATATTTGGCATTTAACATCTTCTAGTGAGTGTCTACCAAGTTTGTTCAAATAAAAGCCCTGGGGTCAATATTGGCCCCGCCCCAGGGGGTCATTGATTTTCCCTATATACATATAGTAAAAACTTAAAAAAAATCTTCTTTTAAGAACCCAAAGAGCTAGAGCTAAGATATTTAGCATGAAACATGTTCTAATGGGTGTCTACCAAATTTGTTCAAATAAAAGCCCTGGGGTCAAAATTGGCCCCGCCCGGGGGGTCATTGATTTTCCTTCTATGTGTATGGCAAAAACTTAAAAATCTTCTTTGAAAAAACCCAAATAGCTAGAGTTTAGATATTAAGCATGAAACATCTTCTAATCAGTGTCTACAAAGTTTGTTCAAATAAAAGCCCCGGGGTCAAAATTGGCCCCGCCCCGGGGGTCATTGATTTTCCTTTTTTGTGTATAGCAAAAACTTAAAAATCTTCTTTGAAAAAACCCATATAGCTAGAGTTTAGATATTAAGCATGAAACATCTTTTAGTAAATTTCTACAAAGTTTGTTCAAATAAAAGCCCGGGGGTCAAAACTGGCCCTGCCCCAGGGGTGTCATTGTTTTTAACTATATGTGTATAGTAAAAACTTAAAAAATCTTCTTTTAAAAAACCCAATGAGCTAGAACTTAGATGTTTAGCATGAAACATCTTCTTATGGGTGTCTACCAAGTCTGTTCAAATAAACAAATAAAAGTCATTGGGGGGGGGGGGGGGCTATATACAGGTGAGCGACCTCAGGGCCCTCTTGTTATTTTTTGCAATTTGATTTTTAAGTCTAAAAATTGTTGTCCCTGGCAACAAGATGTCTGCTAAATTTGTAAAATGTTTAATTTCCAGATTTTAAGACTGCCATTTACATAAATATCATGACGATTATTCTTTCATCAACATTTTCATGCATGAAAACACATGAGCTTATTTATAACAATAATTCCTGTTTGTTTATCAATAAAGTGTCTTAAATTGTGTTGATATTTTAATTTGTTTATATTACAGTATGTACCCCGGTTGGTTTTGCCTGCATGTTTACTTCCATGACAAAATTGGTGCTCAAGCCACAGGTATTATTAAAAGTGTACCTACATGTTAACCTCTACCCTTAATGATTTTTTGTGTGATGAAAATGTGTTGTTCTGAAATGAAAAATCACAATTGTTAATCTGATTGCCATCAGGTTAAATATTTTCCTTGGTATTAAACAATACAGTGTAAGATGTAACTGTACTGATTATATCATCATCTCCTGTGCTGAAATAGTTGATTCATTTAAGTTATAGATTAATGAAAAAGATGCTTCATATTTCAAATGCTTGTATTAAACCATTCATTTCTTTTTTTTCGTAAATCATTCTTATCAGATGTTAACTAATTGAATAAACCCATTTATAATGTCATTTATTACTGCACAATATAAAGATAAAATAGCGAGGCTTTACATTTACATACAAAGAAACAGCTTTTGGTTGAATGAAGGGTTTTTAAAAAATTCAATAAAAGTTTAAATGAAGAGGCTTATAGGTTTAAAGCAAGCTAATGTTTTACAACAACTTTCATATATTTTTCTCAGTTTTTACGTGATATAAATGAAGAATTAACTACAGCAAGATTTAGAGAAGATTCCTTCAGACGAAAGATTAGAGATCAACAACAATGTAAACATGAAAGTCGAGGTAATTATGCTATATGTACGGTGATTGTTTGTTTAAATGTGATATTAGGGTCTTTGGGGAAAATTATTTCAAATTTTTATAAACTGTGATTTGAAGTAAGTGACTTTGACCTCTTGACCATATGTGTTAACCTCATCACCTTTAAGCAACATGTGTTAACTTTTTGGTCTAGTGTGTTCACTTCTTGCCCACATGTTAATACCAATTACATTGTATGTTTAACTTTAAACCATTTGTATGAATTTTTCAGCCACATGTCTTTACCTCTTTACCTGATATGTGTTAACTTTTTAGTCATGTAGTTTTACTTCCTGACCTAAAGGTCTAGCCTCTCAAACACATGTGCTTATCATATAGTCATATGTAATGACCTCTAAGCCAGGTCTTTACCTTTCAGCCATGTGTGTTTATTACACAGCCACATGTGGTGACCTCTTCATTATGTGTGTTTATTACACAGCCACATGTGGTAACCTCTTTACCATGTGTGTTTATTACACAGCCACATGTGGTGACCTCTTTATAATGTGTGTTTATTACACAGCCACATGTGGTGACCTCTTTATCATGTGTGTTTATTACACAGCCACATGTGGTAACCTCTTTACCATGTGTGTTTATTACACAGCCACATGTGGTGACCTCTTTATCATGTGTGTTTTGTTACACAGCCACATTTGGTGACCTCTTTATCATTTGTGTTTATTTTACAGCCACATGTGGTGACCTGTTTATCATGTGTGTTTATTACACAGCCACATGTGGTGACCTCTTTATCATGTGTGTTTATTACACAGCCACATGTGGTGACCTGTTTATCATGTGTGTTTGTTACACAGCCACATGTGGTGACCTCTTTATCATGTGTGTTTATTACACAGCCACATGTGGTGACCTGTTTATCATGTGTGTTTATTACACAGCCACATGTGGTGACCTCTTTATCATGTGTGTTTATTACACAGCCACATGTGGTGACCTCTTCATTATGTGTGTTTATAACACAGCCACATGTGGTGACGTCTTAATCATGTGTGTTTATTACAGAGCCACATGTTGTGACCTCGTTGTCATGTGTGCACACCTCTTTATCCTGTGTTAACCATTGAGCCACATGTTTAACTTTCACCCATAGGTTTTAATGTCTCACTCACATGTGCACATATTAGACACACACTTAAAGATAACAGTACATGTATTACACAATAATATGACAAAAGTAATATATGCATATGTAATATAGGCTTGTTTTAACATCTCACAAATCTATAATGATTATTTTAACCAAACAAATTTTTGTAGTGTGATTTCTATATTATTTAGGTAGATTTATAATTTGTTTATTTTGTTATCAAGTTGCAGGTAGAATTGCTAATGGACATTCCAATCATAAAGATACTGAAAATTATGAGGAGAAGTTAGAGGAAGCTTTAAGAGATATACATGAATTAGGTAGATATTATATAGTGAGGGAAACACTTCTCTTTTACATACTATATTTCTTTGTGTTTTGTAGATAGAAATATTGGTGTTTCTAGTTTCAACATGTTCAGTTTAACTTGGATTGTAATTAATAACTTTAAAGTGGTTAAAATGGCTGACAATGACCAGACCATTTGTGTTGTATTGAAGCTAAATTAGACTTGAACAGTATGTTACCAGTAAACCTGTCATTGATAGAGACGATATCGTTGATATTTTTTTGCTGATCAATAGTCAATACACATTTAAGGGGAAGCGGTGGCCTAGTGGTTAAGGTGTCTGCCTCTCAACCCAGAGATCATGGGTTCGAGCCCTACTCGGGTCACCACCATGTTTCTTCATATGACACCAGTACTGGTTGGTTCCAGGAAGCGGACTGGAAAGTGATTAATATAAGTTGCAAGAACTTGTTTCGCAATCCAGCTTAAATAAATATGTTTAAACCAATACACATTTGAAAAAATCAAAACTTTGATAAAAATATTAAAATGTCTATAAAATTAAAATTCAACTAGAAATATACACAAAAGGCTGGTGGCCTTGTCTAACACTAAGCTGTTGTTACATAATGGACACATTTCATAGCAGCGATGACAAAAAATGGTCAGAAAAAAGATCATGCAAAGGACATTTATATAAAGGACACATACAACATATTATATTTGTATGAATAGAACAAGTATTTTACTAAAGTCAAGAGTGAATATACAAGAAATTAGGATTATTTATCGATATATCAGTGTATCGCCAATATTTGGCATTTAATATCAATGTATTGTTAATATGCTTTGCACTGATTCAATGACACTGCTCTAGTTACTGGACAAGTTGTGTTGTACTGAAGTTACATAAAGCTTGTGTTACTATTTCTGCTCTCAACATTCCTAGAACTTACATTAAACATATCCAGATTTTTATGAGGACAAGAGTCTACTGTCAGATGACTTTCAGGGATTTTACTAGCAATTTCATGTATTACTCCTTTGACAAAATTAAAAACAATTTAAGCAACAGTATTGGTATGTATTTACCAATATATCATTGAAATACTGGTAACAATGAACATTTAACCAGTGATAATCAAACAATTTGTATATATATTTATAGAGTTATATAATTCTGTATATATATTTCAGAGAAGAGGAAACAGATATCGTGTATGAGAACATTGATGTACCCGATCTTAATGCTGTTTTCTATAGCTTTAACTGTAAGTGTGATACTCTGTTATATTACTTAAACTGTTTGTATAGTATACTTTTCTATAGCTCTTACGGTAAGTTTGATTTTGCTATATGTATATAAGTATATTAACAACATGGTTTCCCGACCCATACTGATCATTTGGATAACAGCG